TTGAGGGGTCCTTGGAGGTCGCCCGGATGCCACGACCGCATTGGAGTTGGTGCCTGCCGTCAAGTTCGCCGGATTTAGCCGGAAAACGCTCTGACCCGCCGGAAACCGCCGGCGGGTCGGAGCGTTTTCTGGCCAACTCCGGCGAAATTGACGGCGGGCACCAACGCCAATGCGGTCGTGGCATCCGGGCGACCTCCAAGGACCCCTCAATTGCAAGATTTGATGAAGATTTGCAAAACCCCCAATTTTGGATCTAATTTCGAATTTTAGGGTTTTTTCGAGTAGAAAAATTCAGATTCGAGAAGTTACAGGCCAAATTAGATAAAATGGTTTGGATATTATTGATCCTCGTCTCAAGACGAAGAGAATGACATTGGTCTCGCCGGAATCGGAAAAAGTTCATTTTCCGGCGACTTTGACCGGCATGCGGCGGCGGCGGGGCGTGGAAGAAAAGAAAAGAAGAAATGTGGTCAAATTGAAAATTTTAAAATATATAAAATTCGAATTTGGCCCTAATGACCGGAAGTTAACCTAGAAACGGGCTAATGGCTCATTAGTGAAAGGATTGTGTAAGTTCAGGGATTTTTGTGAAAGGATTTGAAGTTCAGGTACCACTTCGAAATTCCAGCTAAAGTTCAGGTACCATTTGTGAAATTTACCCACAAAACAAGTAATGGTAGATTTATCGAAAATCCTACAACTCAATACTCGCTCAGAGTGTTTGTCCACTTTCATTTTTGCACACCATCCAATGCATTTCTTTAATCCATTTTATCTTATAATTTGTATATTAAAAAATTATAAAAATTATATATTAATAATCTATATGTTAAGACGAATCAAACAAGATCACGCATGACTATTTTTAGGCTTATACATTGAGAGAATTTGATAAGTCTTAGTGCTTAGATGAACAGTTCCAAAAGTCAAAAGTGGACAAACACTCAGGGACGAATCAAAAATCATTTGCATATATACTGCAATTATAAGAATCAAAAGAGCAAACCTCATACTGTATTATTGTATTATTTCATTTACAAGAAAAAGAGTGGATTGTAATCATTTCCAGGGGCGAATGGAGAGAACGATGATCAAGATGATGATGAGGAGGAGAATGATGGCATAGCAGGTCCACTTCCTGGTGTTCCTCTGTTTCTTCCTGGCTTCTTGGAGGTGTTGGGCTCCCTGTCGGACCACGCTGTTCGCCCGGTTCACCTGGCTCTCGATGTCCTCCAGCTGCTCCCCCTGCGCCTCCACCAGCACCGCCATGTCCATGAACACCTGCTGCAGCTCCCTCAGGCTCCCCTCCACCTCCTTCACCGCCCCGTGCCGCTCCTGTGTTTTTTTTATTTTTAAATCATCATCGTCATTGAACTGTGTTTGATTCTGCAAATTGAAATTAAAGATCTCTCTTTTAATGTCTATGTACACATACCTGAATCTCCATGACTGTGTTCATCACCTCCCCTCTCCCCTGTTCTTGAATTGCTTTCTGCATAAACGTCTCGCTCTGGCCGGTGGAGATCAGGGTGTCGAGCACCTTCTCGTCGGGGTTTTCTCCGGTGACGGTGAAGTATCTCCGGTGTACGGTGTCCCGGTACTCGGCGTCGATCTTCTCCCGGAGGTCGCGGAACTGGTTCACGAACTCCTTCAGCTTAACCCTGAGCCCGTTGACCACGGAGGTCCTCGTCCGGTCGGCGGAGCTTCCCGGCCCGAACCCGTGGATCTGGCGGTTCGCCGCGTTGGACCGGTCTAACTCCTCGAGCCGGTGCTTGATGAGTTTCGCCTGCTTGAGTGCGAGGGAGGCGTCCCGGTCCATCTCGGACCGGAGCGATCGGACCTGTTTCGGGTCGTGTAGGGTTTTGCTCTTCTCGTGGGCGGTTCGGAGTCTGGCGTGGATTTCCTCAACGTTTTTAAGGTCGGCCTTGATTGCGTCGACGTCCTCGAAGAACTTGGGGAGGTTGGCGTCGCCGCCGGTCATCTCGACGGCGTGGGAGCCCGGCGGCGGCGGAAATCCTCTGGGCGCAGAGAAGGATCTCGAGAGAAGGTCATTCATTGTTTTCCGGGGATTTGATTCAGAACAAAGATCAGATCTGGCGAAAATCGAATGAACAAATGGATTAGTGTACGAAGAAATAGAACCCAACAAAGAAAAAAGAGAGAAAAACGCGTGGCTGAGTGGCGGCTGGAACTTGTAAACGGCGACCAAGAGGACGCGGCCCCCCTCAGAGTCGCGAGGCCGGATGCCCAGTCAATCCTCTATCAAGACCAAGAAGGTTCGATCGCCCAATCAATTGGCTTAATCTAATTTTTTTGGGAATTGATCTTGTTTTTTTGGATGGGTGTAGTTTATCTAGAGAAAATTTTACCACTAAAATATACTTTCATAGTTAGTTTATCCATGTGTTTTAATTTTTTTAAATATAGTACTAATTTTTTATACATATCATTATTCAAGTAAATATCTACCGTTACTGAACATTGTTCAAGTAGATGTTCACCGTCATTGAACATTGTTCTCGCCACTCGAACAAGGAGTCTTAGCCTCTTAGGTACAACAATGAGAAAAAGACATGTTTTAGTATTATTTAGTACAAATCTCACCTTTTTTTAAGGGTGAATAATTGGTCAAGTTCCATTTAATGCTACAAATGAAATAAAAATATAATTATAAGTAATCATAATACTCGAAAGTAAGAGAACTAGAAATGGGGATGACGTCGTAGGGTGTATTTACGGGTTTAACGTCGTCAGAGCGATAAACATCGCCCTGAGGGGCGTTACCGAGTAACTGGTAGAAATGCAATGGGCCCCATCAGATGGCCATAATGCTATTGAGCATAAAAAAAGTTACTCTATATGTTCCCTCTCATTTTCTAAAACAAAACACACAAAAATTTTAAACTTTCTTTCTTCTTTCTTATAAAAATATTTCTCATCCTTCATCAATTTTAAATTTTATCACGAACTCTCCATCCGGTACTGAGCCTCATGTGTACGCGTTGTGGGATTACCAAATGTATAGAAATTTTTCGATCTTTCCCAAAATGCAAATTTGGCGGGTCTGGACTCGGTTCCGAAAACTCAACCAGAATCCAGTGTACTTAAAAAGGCACACACTAAAAAAGTTGCAAGCCGCAATCGAAGATCGAAAAGCCGATGACCAGGGCGGCAGTGTAATACAAAAATAGACACCGGAGGGTGGAGTTTTGTGGCGTATATATTTGTGTTAAATTATGTAACTTCTTCTTTATATAATTGTGTTTAACTGTGGGTGTAAGAGTTAAGTAGTAACAACACTCTTCAATAATTAATTAAAGAGTTAAAATAGATTTCAATAATTAATTAAAGAGTTAAAATAGATGGAGAGTTCTTACTTCTTATGACATTATAAACTCATGTCATCAGAGCACTGGTAATACGTTTGAAGCCCCGGGGCTTCAAACTTTCTCTCTCTGCACGTCAGCTTTAACGTACACCCAAAATTCACTGGAAATGGGTTTGAAGCCCCGGGGCTTCAAACCTTCATTTTTTACATTTTTAAATATACATATTCTAAAATTAAATTAATAAAATGTACTTAATTTATTATTTAATTAAATTGAAACACGAATAATTAAAAAAACACATTAATTAAATAAAAAAAAGCGACAATAATTTAAAAAAAAGATACATTAATAAAAAAACTAAGGTAAATTATATTTCTCCTTGATCTCTCTCATTCTTTGCTCGTAGATAATTCGTCCAAACTCCGACAACGTCCCAGAGTCGGTTTGCATGACTTTCATCTCGGCCTCCTGCTCCTTTAGCTTCAACTCCTTCTCTTTAAGCTTCAACCTCTCTTGTTCTTGGAGATTGAACGCCCGAAGTTGTTCAATCATTGCCCGGCCGATTTCGTCGCGGGGAGAAGCGGAAACAGAGGCGGACCCTCCCGAACCAGAGGCAATGGATTTTGCCTTCTTTCTTCCGATCGGCCGTGGAATGGGGTCCTCGTCATCGGAATCCGCAACGTTGAAGGGAGGGATTTGATCGGTAGAACCGATAGTCTCGTCGACCTCAACCTCGGCGGGGACGGTGGATCTTTTCCGCAATGATCCGCCGTCGGAATTGTTGAGTTGTTGCCACTTCGGGGAACGACTCAAAATCTTCCAAAGATCGATGGGCACCTTACCTTGGTTCCCGTCGTCTTGATACCGGGCCGTGGCAAGCCGGAGAATATCGGCGTCGTTCGTGCCGCTCCTCCGGGACTGGGAGCATTCCTCGTAAACTCCCATAAACTTTCGGACTTTTTTGTTGATGTGGCACCATTTGGAAGTGAGTTGGTCCCGGGTTCGGTAGGAGCCGTCCTTCTTCATCGCCGTAAAGAACTTCTCCTCGATACGATCCCACATCGCATCCTTCATTTGCTCCGTACCTTTAAAAATGTATTACACAATTTGTTTAGACATCATTAAATATAATATATATAAATAAAAACATAAATATATTAGAAAAAATAAATTTTTTACCAATGATAGGATGCTCGGAGACGTCAACCCAAGCCGACGCCAATATGCACTCCTCCTCCGGCGACCACTTTTTGATTGACCGTGCCGCCTCGGTCAACGTGCTTTTGGCTTTGTGGCTCCTCCGGCGTGTACTTTTTTTCGATCCGGACGGTTCCGGTTGAGTCTCCAGAACCGAATCTCGGTCGACGTACCCCGATTGTTGCGCCTCGTATATCGGCGGTCGATCGCCCCACTCTTGGTAGAACCACATCGCGGCGTCACTCGGCGGGAGATCGTCGGGAACGAAGCCGGAGCCGGAAGGATTCATGTTGAATAGAAAGAGGGTAATTTCGAATTTTAAAATGGGAAGAAGAAGAGATTGAGAAGAGAAAGTGTGAGAGATTGGGAGGGGGGGTTTGAATTTATATTTTTTTTAAAATGGGATAAACGGCTATAAAGCCGTTGGGAAGGGGAGGTGTTTCGAATGACACCGCGTCATTCGTTTGACGCAAGGGCGATCACGCCCGAAGGGGGCGGTGTTTCACGCCGGCGGGGCGTTAAACGCCCCCTCACGCCGTGGGGCGTTGCTGGTATTACTAGTGCCCTCATATAACGTTGCTTCGTTCTTAAAATTGAATATTCCTTACTTCACCTGGAATGTGGATGCTATCAACAAAGGCTGATCCATCGTATTCGATCGTGATCGAGTTGAAGATCTCTTCGCGCTTGCTGTCGCCTGCACTCCGTCCATTGGTCTCTCCGCCGAAAATCCCAAGTTTGAATTTCTTTGGATTTTTTTCTTAAGTCGTAACTAGTAAGCAACCGCTATTGCTTTCCTACCACTCAAAAGGCTTTCCCGAATCCACTTTTCTCCACCGCAAGCATATCGACCCGATCTTCCATGGCGATAACAAAACTCGCAGTTGCCCTTCTCCTCTTCGGTCTCTGCGTCTTCCTTCCTTCAGTTTCAGCGGAGTCCAAGTCCGTCGATTACTGCAGTAATTTCAATTCCTCTTGGCCTTTTGTTTCCCTTCTTTATATTTTCATTGTTTTCCCCCCTTGTTTTGCTGCAATTGATTGGATACCTCGCTTGTTCTCTATGTTCATCTCTTTTGGCAGATACCCAGAAGTAAAGATTCAATTGTGTGTATTATTTCTAAGTTTCTCTTGATAAAAATCCAACCTTTTTGTTTATTGCCCCCCCCCCCCAAATTGAAGCTTTTATGAAGTTAGATTCATTTGGGTTCACTTAGAGTTGAAATCTTTGCAGGAAATGAAAGAAATTATGATGTGAAGGTCAGTGGAGTTGACATCTCACCTTATCCTGTGCAAAGAGGCAAAAATGCAACCTTTAGCATTTCTGCTGTAACAGGTGAGACTCTTGAAGTTATATGTATAGCTGTTTCACTGATTCAATGGGCTTGGCATATCTGGCTTATGTTAACTTCATAGATGAGATTTAACTCTCCTTAACCCGAACCGAGATTAGACGATTAGTTAACCTGAAGCTTGATGTTTTCCTTTTCCTCCTTTGTTTCTTCAGATAAAAGCATATCCAATGGAAAGTTGGTTATAGATGTGAAGTACTTCGGTTGGGACATCCATAGCGAGACACATGAACTTTGTTCGGAGACATCTTGCCCTGTCCCTGCTGGTTCGTTTGTGGTATCACACTCCCAAGTACTGCCGGGGATAACTCCCCCTGTAAGTCCTTCTTACCCTTAATTGACAACTCCATTGCAATCTTTACCCAAACAAAGTGACTTTATGCGCTGGACCATTGATGCATTGCTACATTTACTACTCAAAACTTCATTCAAATTTAAAAAAAAAAACGAACGAAGTTTAACGTGTCATTCTGATTTAGTCCATTTTTTCACTTGAACTAGAAGGAAGTTTAACGGACAGTACTTGGAAAATGCAGGGCAGCTTCACTCTTAAGATGTCAATGGTGGATGAAGAGAAGCATGAGTTGACATGTATCACCTTTGACTTTACCATTGGATTTGGGTTTGTTGCAGAGTCCTAAGCCATTGGCAGTTGCTACTCCCCCTTAGGAACTCCATGTCCTTGCCATTTCAGTCCACTTGCTTTTGTAAATGATTTGCCTATCTTGTCTGGTTTCTCTCCATAATTAACATAGTAATGTGAAGTGTTCTCAGTTTCCTAATATATTACTACATCACACAGATGATTATGAACTTCTTTAGCTCTTTCTTGTTGCTTCTTTATGGTGAGTGAACAAAGAGGTGGGCTAATATTGGGAACCCCTACCAAGTTCCAAATGTGCTCTTATTAGTTCATTGAACAACAACAAAAATTCAAGCATGAAAAAATATGTGGGCAAAATGCCCTTGAAGTTATTTTAAACAACAAGCTTATTTCAAACACACGGACATAGAAGGGACATTGCTTCAGTCACACCACGGATGACACCAGAAATAACACACCGATGATGTCTTCGGGACATTGACGTTCTGCGCACCCACTGATGGTGTTAACTTAGAGTTCAAAGTAACATCTTCCTGCATGGAAACATGAAGCCCTGATAAACTAATCAGCATGACGATGAAGCAGGCGCAACAGTTCTTGAAAATCTCTAGTTGAGCTCCCATCCCCAGGCCTTACAGCCGCCATAGCTTTCTCCTTGAGCACTGCAACATTTTCTCTGAACACCTTACTCCGATCACCCGCCAAAACGAGATCCAAGGCCTCCATTGTCGCGTTCTTGGTGAACACCACTCCCTCCACACTCACCCCGATCTCCCACGCGCTCTCCACGAGCCTGCTGTTCATCGGCTGGTCCCCGTAGAACGGCCTACAAATTAAGGGCACCCCAGAGGACACTGCCTCTAGAATCGAGTTCCACCCGCAGTGCGTCACGAAGGCCGCGACCGAAGGGTGGGACAGGACTTGTACTTGGGGAGCCCAAGGCACGACCTTCCCCAGCCCTTCGGTCCGGTCCAAGAACCCTTCCGGAAGGTAGCTCAAGCCGGGTTCTTTGAGTGACCAAAGAAAAGGGACCCTCTTGGCTTCTAGTGCTTCAGCTATGGCGGCGATTTCGCCAGGTGGCAGCACGAGGACTCTTCCGAAGCTGAGGTAGACTGCAGGCCCGCCTCGCAGGGCGTCCAACCAGGGGAGGCATTGGTGTTCGTCGCTGGGGGGCGGCGGCGGCGGTAGGGAGGGGAGGAGGGACATGGGGCCGATGTTGAAGAGGTTTTGGAGCTTGGTTTTGAGGTGGTCGGCGGTGGCCGGCTCTAGATCTTGGAAGGAGTTGACGGCGACGGCGTTTGCTCTGTGGAGGTGGAGGGACATGTTGTAAACCATGCCGGGGAAGGTGGGTGCCTGTAGATTCCCGGTGAAGAATTCCGCCGGCAGGTCGCCGATTCGTACGGTGGACAGTCCCGGGATGGATTCCAGGGTTCGGTTCTCTTGTGTAGACTCTCCTGCCAATATTTGATTCATTTTTTCAAAACTAGTGTCCTTACAAGGATGCTTATTTGGGCACAAATTGGGAGCAGAAGAAAACAACACATTTATGTTTGATTCAAAGAATTCGGAACTAAAAAAAATGTCAAGAAAATTTAATTTTAGAGTTTGGTTAAAATTAAGGAACAACACAAAAAAACCTAAATATGATTGGCTAAAATCATTTTTAGCATGTGAATGCTGGTATAGCAAGTCATTGCTAACTTTTTATTGTTGTAATTTAGCTAATAATTACGGAGTATAGTAGTAAATACTCCCTCCGTCCCCCTAAGATGTTCTCATTTTGACTTTTGGTGGTTTTTAAGAAGAGTTGAAAAAAGTGAAAGTTTACCATAATACCCTTAATGAAATATGAGTGGAGTGTATTAAATGAGGTGGGTGAGGTGTAATAAATAAAGTAAGTGGGGGTAGCTATGGTATTTTAATTGTTAAAAAATGAAATGAGAAGATCTATTGTGGACAAAGAAAAAGGGCTATTGAAAAGATCTATGGGGGACGGAGGGAGTATTAACTAAAGAGTAGAGAAAAAACCCGAACAAAAAAAGCAAAAATTAAAGAATAGAAGTAACAAAATATTTTGAGGATAAGAATGAGAGAAAATAAGAGAGATAAATCAAATGTTTAACTAGTATCATGGGTTGCTATATTTTGAGAGTCTTGATATATACGGAGGTGACTATGTTAAGCATAAAACCTCTGGAAGTAAGGAGGTCTTCGGGGATGGGGTTCGCATATCGCGAATTTTTTTATTTGATTACTTTTAGAAAAAATTTGATAAATAAAACACTCATAATATTTTATTTAAATACAAATTCAAATATCTCAATAATCGCTTCGATTCAATTCTTTTACTATCCTAATTGGGGTACTAGTATTTTATGTTGAGGCACCACGGCACCACGTATATAAACTCAAAAAATACTCCGTACTTTTAAAACTCTATTTTACTTTTTTGCAGTGACCCTCAACTCACGAAGAAATCTCAGAAGGATACATTTTTTGACCATGCTACATGTACCCCATATTTGTACCCCAAAGCTTTAACCTGACATTTAATGTAAGTGCAACACTGATAAATTACCAGTTTTGCACCTACATTTAATGTCAGGGCAAAACATTAGAATACAAAATGGGGTACAATATGAGGTACATGTACCATTATCCTACATTTTTTTTCAAAAGAATACGAAGTACGGAGAACAAATCTTTTTTAAGATTATTGTACCCCGTACGAGATTTTGAAAATTGAGTGGGGCCCTTAGCCCCCAATAATCACTCACTGTGCCCACACAGAGGCAAGAACAGCAAAACCTACTTGCAAACCCAACAAAGCCTAAACACAATACCCCTACCTAACTTTTTTTTTTGAAACGTGACACCTACCAAAGTGTTAACAAAATACTAATAAGGATTATGCTATGTATACCCCAAGGGTTGTACCCCAATTTGTACCCCGCAGTTTTGCACCAACACTTTGTGTTGGTGTAAAATTATTTTTTGTTAAACGCACCAACATTTGTGTCCGTGTGAATTTTTGTTAAACGCACCAACATTTGTGTCGGTGTAAACCATCGAAATGTTTGTGCAAACCTGTGGTGTATAAATGGGGTATATTTTTTGGTGTAAGTGTAGCATGGTCCTACTAATAACTATGAATAACTCAAAATTAGACAAAAAATACACGCATTCAGATAGTTTACACTGACACAACATACTAGTGTGATAAAAAAATTAATACTAATATTTTATGTCTGTATGAACCATCATTCAAGCATTACAGTGACACGAAATGAAGATGCACACTTTTGATACTCCCTCCGTCCTATATTTTTCTTCCCGGTTCGCAAAACGAAGAAAAATCCTAAGTTTTTTCAATCTATTTTATTTAAATATTGGTATAGAAATAAAAAATAAAATATACATATTTAAAAACTACATCAAAAGTTCAACAAAACAAGTAGTGACAAGAATATTTTATTTTATCATATAGGCCATGAAAAAACACAAATAAATATAAATTCCCGTGAAGTTGGAATAGTGTTCTGGGAAGAAAGTTTTAGAACGGGGGAGTATATAGTTAAGGATACAAATCTTTATCAAATGTAACAAATATTTAAATAAAATGAATTAAAAAAAATTAAAATCACACTTTCGTTGACAAACATTTAAAAGAGTAGAATTTTCCAAACAAACGGTGTTAACATGGCAAGGATAAGCACCAGGGAACCAAATACTTTTTGAAAATGTTGATAAGATTTAGCATTTAGCACTACGAATTAATTATATACACGTATGACTCTTAAAATATTCTTTTCATTTGTGTTTACGGATTTTGACTGATTTCATTTTTAATTCAATTAATTTGATTGTAGCTATAAAATTAAAAAAAACTCTCTAAAATTTATATATTTAAAAACTATAACAAAATTTCTATAAAACAAAAGGTAACAAGACTAAATTACTTATCAAATAATTAACGAAAATAAGTAAAGAAAGTGATTGAACTTTGACCGTGTAAGTAATAACTGAGAATAACATTTTAAAACGGAGGGAGTTATTTTTTTTCAAATTCTATTACGCTGAGTTTTGAACTCTTAGTCCAAAGCTCCGTACCGTGTCAAAATGTCAACTCAACCAAAAATTCAAATTTATAATTGTGTTAGAATATACTCTAGAAAAAAATTTTTGTGCCGGCAAACTCGAGATTTGGTTGAATTTCTTCCTTTGTTCAAAAATAATTTCCTCTTTTGACTTTACATACGGAGTAAAACTTACTATCCATAGTTGGAAAAACTAAGTGGAAGATACGTACCGTTTGTGGCGGGAGAGGAAGAAAGAGTTCGAATAAGATCAGTATGTAAATGAGCTGAGAGAGAACAACACCCAGCTGTCCAAAGCACAATCCAAGGAACGCCGCCGCCGCCGCCGCCTCTCTTCTCGGCCATGTCGCCGCCGAACCAAAGAAACGCATCCGTCAAGAAACACCCGAACCGGGTCCCGATCTCCGCCTCCGCCTCCTCGACCGCTCTCTCGTAGTTTCCCGGCATCACCGCCACGAATCTCATGGCGGCGTCCTGTTCCTGCAGCGGCGCCGCCCCCTCTGCCGCCCCGTCCCACAAGTCGTACGCCTTGATGTTGCGGCGGCCGCTGGCGGACGGCTTGAACAGAGAGGCGTTGGACCGGGTGGTGCTGAAGAAGGAGAAACGGACGCCGGGGAAGTCGCCGGCGATCATTTCGACCAAGTTGAGCAAGGGCGCGGCGTGGCTGCCGTACGGGAAGGCTAAGACTGCTACATGGTACCGGAATGATTTCTCCATTTCTTTTTTTTTTCCTTGGGGCAAATAGTTTTTTTTTCTTCTTTCTATTGGTGGAAGGCTGAAGAGTACCCTGCCACCCTTATATCATAAATATGATACTTCCTCCGTCCTAAAATTTTCTTCCCAGAGCACTATTCCAACTTCACTTGAATTTATATTTATTTGTGTTTTTTCATGGCCTATATGATAAAAAAAAATATTCTTGTCACCACTTAATTTGTTGAACTTTTGATGTAGTTTTTAAATATGTATATTTTATTTTTTATTTCTATATCAATATTTAAATAAAATAGATTGAAAAAACTTGAGATTTTTCTTCGTTTTGCGCAACGACAAGAAAGATATATGACGGAGGGAGTATAAATATCTTTCTAAGCCGGTGAGCTTTGTGCAGTTGGTAAAACAAAGGGTGTCAAGGGAGTAAGACTCGACTTTGATTCCTGACAATTGCGTTGGAAGGCAACTATATATGCTAAGTATAGGGCCTCTGCAAGTACCAGGTGCGAGCTCTACTTTTACCACCAATCTCCAATAAATTCCAATTTATCTCCTCTCAATAACCGTCCAACCGGGTCTGATGCGCCCTCGGGGATGACGGATGAGGCTCATCTTTATAAATATCCTCCCAAAAGGGAGTTGATGTACGCGCTCCACCAGTTGCTAAAGGCGCTCCAGGAGTACCCATATTTTCTGAAAATGACACCACTACCCTTTTAACTTGGTACTGTTGATTGGTATGTGTTTTTTTTTTATAAAAAACTTAGTACTATGATGTGTGAAGTGCAACTTAATTTTAAAACAGAGAGAAAAAAAATCTTACTTTAGTTTTTTTATGTTTTATTTCAATTTGGGTTGATTTATTTAAAATTTATTCAATATTTTATTTACATGATATTATTCTAAATAATTGTAAATGATATAAAACATTTACTTTCAAATTCATAAAATTATATTTATAGTTTTTAGTATTTTATTTTCATCCTATAAACTTTAAAATATTTTTTCTATAATTAATGTATTTTTATTTTGAAAATAGACCAATTTGAGAAAATACTTGGTTAGAAAGTACCATTTTGAAAAAATAATATATAAAGTTTAACATCGTTTTAACCCGTTTTAACGGTAGTCAGTCGGGGGGACTGAACTAAACATTATTCTCAATAAACAAGTACTATTTCATAAATTAGTTAATTGTGGGGACTAATTTGGAAAAGTTATTGAGTTTTATTTTGGAAATTTACTCTAAAAATGCAACTTAAATAGGGATGAGAGGGTAAGAATTATTCTTCAATAATAAGGTCTATTGTGTTTTGTTAGATTTTTAAAGTTGGATATTAAAAAAACTAGAAATGTTATAATAAACTTGAAAATTTCAGAAAAAATATTAAACATTTATTGAATTAAATGATAACCTAAATAAAAATGTAAGAAAATTAATTTTTGAAAAAAATCATCTCTACTCATATTTGAAATTATGTTATAAATTTGGATATATATATATATATATATATATATATATGATATTATATATTTAATATTTTTATCATATGTAAATGAGTTTTTAATATCATTGACTCATTGTTAGAGAGAACTCAAAAGAGTTAGTAAAAAGTGAAATGAGTTGAAAAAATTTAAAAAAAATTTAAAATTATTTTTTTCAATCCAAACTCTAACCAAACAAACCTTTTTCAATCATTATTCTTTGAGCCCAACCCTACTTGTTCAATACGAACGTACTCCTTCGTAGTGCTCCCCAAAATTTTTAAAATATCAAATTAGCATCTTTCTTCAATTAATGACGAGATGGTCTCTATTACTTTAATTTACAAGGTGGAGTGCCCTTAGCTAAACGTGGAGTGCATATATGAATTGCCCCCCCCCCCCAATAGAATATGGAGTACTAGACCCGAACCTTGGTTCCCTCGCCATTACATCAACAAGCTTCCACATGAGTATATTCTTTTGTCTTAAATTTATTCTCTTGTTTTAAAAATACAATACAAAATTCATCTATTTTGAATGTATCTGGTCCAGAAGGTATGCAAAGTGGAAAACTGATATGGTCCCTAAGATTTTAGGGCCCATATTTTTAGATTTGAGTATTTGCCACTAATTTTATAACATAAGTATTCAAAAAAGTAATAATATGGCCCAAAATGTAAATTTTGGACCGGATCAATTTTATTTTTTCAGTTTTTGGGGACGGCTCTGATTTTGAAATAATTTCATACTCCTTCCGTCCCCAAATAAACTTCCTCTTTCGTTTTTTCTTTGTCCCCAAATAAACTTCTTTTTTTCTTTAAAAACCCTTTTTGTCCCTTACTTTTTCATACCCTACGTATCACATCATACCTTTTTTACTAATAATCTACATATCACATCTTACTTTTACACATCATACCAAGAGTATTTTAGGAAAGTAAACACAAAATATCCCTCCCTTAATTCCTCAAAAATTCAAAAAGGAAAGTTTATTTAGGGAGGGAGGGAGTATATAATTTGGTATCAAAATACAAAGTACTACTCACATGTTTTAAAACTATATCTAAAGTTCTACAAAATAAAAATTTATATCTCTATTTTATTTTATCAAAAAATCATTAAAAAAGAGTGTAAATAATAGTTATTGGAAGCTTAAAATAGCAAACCGAACAATAATTTTGGGACAAACGGAATAGTATTTATTGTGAACCTCAACATTTGACTAAACTTATTTTTAATATAGTTTATTTTAAAATTAGTACGGGGTATAAAAATTTATAAAAAATTACGTTCTCCATTTTGAAAGATAATTTCTCTTTTGACTTTTGAAAATTTTAAGAGAAGTGTAAGTTGAAATTGACTTTTTAATTTTTCCCATTATATAATGGATAAAAGCAGGTTATGAATATATATTAATATGGAGTAGTAAACGGAAACTCCCCCCTCCGATCCCCCCGGTCCTAAACTGCTTTACTTCTTTATTACTTTCTCCGTCCTCAAACATTCTTCTTAATAATTATTCACAAGTTAAGGTCAAATTTTAATAATTTTCTTTACCTATTTGTGTTAGTTGTTTAATAAAATTATAGTCTTGCCATCTCTTATTTTGTAGAACATTTGATATAATTTCTAAAAAATGAAGCATTGAAGACTTATATAGCCACGGGCCACCAGGACACTACGGCCCTCAACTGTCTTTAATTTGCCAGACTGTCCCAATCCCTTTTGTGGAATGGGCTCCCTCCATGTTATTTCCATTCCATTAGACCTCGCCAAATTGTTTCTAGGCGAATTGATTGATTCAGAATCAGACCCGGCCCGAGACTCTCTAACCAATCACAACATGAACACATGGCACCCCACTAGGCCACGCCTAAAATGTATGTCAAAAAATTTAGGAGGTATAATAAAACAAAACTAATTTATTAAAAAATAAGTTTATTTTGAAAATGAACTGCTCTCTCACAATGGCGGATCTAGAAAAAAATATGAGTGAGCATAATGTCGGTATGTCAAAAAATAGGTTCAAGGGAATTGTCTCTGCAACCTTTTTAAAAAGACAATTTTAAATGATATTCGTGGTGTCTCAAAATCACTGACGATTTTTTTTACTGGCGGCACTCCTTCATTTAGGGAGGGTTTTGTATTGACGGTTTGATATTCACCAAAAATCAAAGATAAAATATAAGGAAAATTGGTGGATTGATTCAATTTGTTTTTACACCAAAAAATATGTAAATTGTTGATTATTCAGTGTAGTTTTATGCGGTTTGTATTTTGATTTTTTGTGTTTTTGGTTTTTAAAAATAAAAGTTTATAAGCATTAGAAAATTGTAACGACACTAACTGGATGAAGCAATTAAAATATGTAGGGTCGGGATTGATTTTTTCGGTCTGAATTTTACCCAAAACCAAAAACTGAACAACAGGTTAAAGTTTGATGTAAATATCATTTGCGGGAATTTATGTTTTTTGTTATAATATTTTCATTTCCATTATAACATCAAAATTTTTCATGTAAATATGTAAATTACTCGTATCAATTTTTAACACATGTTAATATAACTATGTATTAAGATTAGTTATTGGTGTTTAAATTTCTAGTTTCCTTAAATTTTATAATACTCCGTATGATTTAAAATATTTGATAGTTAAGAAAAAATTACTTTAGTCAACTAGTCACTTATTCATATTTATATTTCTATATTTTTTTTGGCATATTACATATATATACTCATATACATAAAACGAAATACCTAAAAGAGTTCAACTTATTCGGTTCGATTTGATTTTTTTACATTTTGGTTTCATTTTTTCGATTTGATTATTTTTGTAGCTCGTTTGGATCAATTTCGATTCGATTAGCGATTTTCGAATTTTCCAACCTAACACTCCCTTCATCAATCTACTTTTTTTTGTTTAGTTTTTTTAGGGTTTTGTTTTGTTTTGTTTTGTTTTGTTTTAGTATTAATGAGCCATAGCTAAAGGGTCAAATCCATACTTTTGCACTCTATATGTCAATGCTCCTTCCATCCAAAATATATCTTTATGATATTTGTTGAAGTTATTTTAAAATTATTTTATATGAAAAGTAATATAAAATTAAAAAAATTATATACCTAAAAATTACATAAAAAAAACTACAAAACGAGAGCTGAAATGAATACGTACTATTTTATCAAATCGGAAAAAAAATAAGGTAACTAAGTGAATAAAGTTTAACCATGTAAATAAAAAATGGAAAGGTCATTTTTAGACAGATGAAAGTAATATACGGAGTACTATCTATGTCTAAAAATATTTGTCTAATTTTAAGTTTTTTATGTCAAAAATTGATAAACTTTTGTCATTAGTAAATAAATTTTATATTAAGTATTAATACATGCATATTTTTACCAGATTTATCTTGTATATTATTTTCAACATACTATTCCATCTGAAAATATTATTATATTTTGATTTCATTATAAGTTAAATCAAACATGATTAACTTTAAACATTCAAATTGGACAATACTTTGGCATGTTTCAACTTTAGAGTACAAAATTGTACCAAAAAAAAAAACTTTCAATGTTTGTTTTAGATTTCGACTTTCCGAACATTCAAAACAAATTTCCCATCTTAATTCTTTTTTGAGTTTTCAAAAAAATAAAAAATCCTTTTCGAAAATACAGGGTAAACAAAAATAAAAAAAAAAAAAAAAAGGAAAACGCAGTAACAGACAAAATTTATCCTCGGCGACAACCAGTTAAACTAATGTTTCACGTAGATTTACCTGTCGGTGGCCTAATATCAGCTCACCTTGTCTCTCCCGCCGCCCGCCTATCATTCTTATTCTTTACCAAGATTCGGCCATTTTCTTTCTGCTTTTTAAATTTTTTGTGTGGTTTAGTTTTATTTCTAAAAGCAGTAAAGTCAACCCAATATTGAAGACGAAGAGAGTGTGATTTATGGTGTCTTAGATCATCTTTATCAAGTTTGGGTCATCATCTTATCTCTATATCCCAACCAGATGCTCTTCAAAATCACAGCTTTTGTGAGTTTGAATCTGTTTCTTGTTTTTCTTTGTCAAAATTCTCATATTTAACCACTCAGTTAGTGTTTCTTGAATTCATTTGTGATGTGATAATGATATGTAGGTATGGTCTGAGACATTATTAACACCAGTTTGGCAAATTCTTGAGTTCAACTCTGTTTGATTTTGACTCTTGCTTATACATATATGGTCTGTGAGTCTGTCCAATTTAAGTTTGTGCATGTGTAAACTGTGATTGAGTGGGTTAGTGTTTCAGGGAGAAGTCCTTTGTTTTTCTATAAGTAGTGAGACAGGTGTGCAGTGATTGGGAAGGATTGATGAGTATATGAGTCCTTTCTTGGCTTGATGATGGTTGTGTGGTCCTCCACCAAGTAAAGGAGGTCGGGACATTGGGATCCACATGTTCTTAAAGACCACGTGGATCTCATGTCCTGACCTACTTTGTTTGGAAGATTTGGATCTATGACCCCAAGGGTCATTCCGAATTTGGGAGGTGGGGACCACACCGACATTTTTGTGATATCAATTAGATGAATGCACTTTTTTTTGTTGAAATATGATGTCTAATTAAGTGCTATGTGTTTTTTGCCTTTGTCCCTAGCTTGTGCATGTGTGCTTTCTATGCTTTGGGTGTACTTGATGGTGTCAGTTTGTACTACTCTATCTATGTTTTTTTGAGCCCGTGGCCACTTGGAAACACTCTTTACTTCCAAGTAGAAATAAGGTCTGCATACACACACCTTCCCACGACAATACTTTTGTGGTATTCTACTGAGTTTGTTTATTGTGGTTATGAGGTCAAATTAAGTACTTAGATCTCTATCTCTACTTTGTCAGTTTGTCCATTCAGAAGAATAAGCACAATTTGTTATTTTGCTCTTTGGTGCAAATATGGCGGAGAAGGGAAACATTTCTGAGTATAGAGATCGACTTGACAAGACTTTGTCGTGCCATGATCTTGTGAGCAAGGAGGTACTTAAGCGTCTCGTTAGGAATCAAATCTTGAGCTCCTCAAGTTTTGAGACACCACAAGGTTTGTGTATGCGCGTCTTGTATTGTACTAATAACTGAAGAAATCACGCATCAAACAAAGACTGAGCACAAAGGTGTGTTTGGTTTGCAGAGTTTATAGACAATGTAGTAGAAAGAAGAAGCAATGAATTAGTCCACACGCTTGGAATGTTGAGAAGTGCCTCGTTAGCTGAGGGCGGTGACTCAAACCCTTCCAATGTGTCACATGGTGGATGGAAAGTAAGCTAAATGTAAATGTATTCTTGTATGCAGTCAAACTCAAAGAACTTTGATTGCCAATTTAAAAAAGTTACATTGCATATTAATGAAATACGGAGTAATTTTTTGGAAGTATTTGACAAGATAAAACTAATGGATTCTTTTTTTGCATTAATATGTAATACGGAGTATCATTTTTATTTGATTGATGATCAAACTTCATCCAATTTGAGTGCAAAAGTCAAAATGGACCAATACACTGATATGATAGAAATAAGTGGATTTTTTTGTAAGGTTTAGTAGAGAGAGAAAAAGTCATGGTCCCAACTGTCTTTTCTCCTTTCTCTGTTTCTTACCATGACAAATAAGAGTGAATATCTATCTCTTCTCCAATTCTCTCATCCCTATTTCTTTCTTTGCAATTTCTACACTACCAAATGGTTAATGTTTTCATGTTTGTATTTGCAGGTAAAACAGGATGCAGAGGAACTTCGCGTAATGTATAGGGAAGGGCCCGAAGGCACTCCTTTTCATATCCTCTTAGTTGAAGGATTTGTAGATGGTCCAGTTGATGTTTGTAAGCTAGAAACTTATTTCCTCCGCCTAATTGAGATTTTCCAAGTTTGATTACACATTACATGCTACAGTTCAACACAACGGTTTTAACTCCATTTCAGGTCTTTGCATCTCATGGGAAGTAGACCTCTACAAGAAATGGTATGAAATTAAGGTTTGGATTCATTCTCCTGTCATAAACTGAAACTAAATCTAAGCATTCATTCAAACCCATTGCTCCATTTGCGTGTACCCGTTATTTTCTTGGAACCAGCCTCTCTACTACGTAGTAGGGGTAAGGTCTGCATACAAACACCCTCCTCAGACCCTACTTTTGTGGGTTTTTACTGGGTCTGTTGTTGTTGTTGAGTCCAATATTAAAGCTGTAATGTTTTCCTGAACCAAGGTATTGGGTTGCTGTTGTTGCAGGTGGCCCCAAACAACAGTTCCGAATTTCAAAGTTGCTTACTCTAAATGTTTGCAGAAGGTTAGGATTGGCGAACATATATCTGTAGTAAGGTATTCTCCCTTTTAAGAGTTATATCAGTCACTTCTATTCTTATGTACTATGTGCCCTTAAAATTTTATGATGAGAATCTTACTTTGGAAGGAAGGATGAAGCTTCCATGGCCACTGTCAACAAGGGAGGCTCTTATAAACTTCTTCGAATTCGACTATTTTCAAGATGGTCTGGTAGTCGTGCTCTTCAACTCGGTAAAAACGTGAACATATAGCCTCTCTCTCTCTCTCTATAGGGTGCAATGGAGGTTCTTTAAGAAGAAGAAGAAGAAAAAAGAAACTTCATTGTTGTACTTTGTTCAATTTGTTCTAGATATCAGACATAGAGAATGTTGGTGATTATGGCAGCCATGGATTGAGCAGGGATGGAGGGCTTGATGCAGATGATGATGTGGTAAGAATCGATGTGGTGGGAGGTTTTGCTATGCAGAAAGTTACTGCTAACAGAAGTTACTTCCGGTTAGTTGTCCTATCTTCAGAAACTTTGGTAAAAAAAATTGCAATTTACCACCTGAGATGTTATAATTCACCTTGCCGCTTTGAAATTGTACAGCACAATTGCCAACATGGATATAAAACTGGATTTTGTCCCTCCAACATTGATTAATTTTTTTTCAAGGCAGCTCATTGGGAGTGGTTTCAAGCTTTATAAGAAGGTCAGCACCCATTCTATTGCTTAGAATGTTTTCTGAATAAAGCTCTTCTCATTAAGGCCTAATTTTGGTGACAAAAAAAAACTCATTACTCAGAAAACACTTCTGTAAAGTCGACTCAGAAGTCGAAAGTGCTTCTAAGAGCTTTCCATTACGGTCGTTTTTGGTGTTTCACTTCAGTTGTTGGACATACTCCCATCATTCTTAATTCACTTTCCGGTTGACCTTTTTTTTACATATATTGAAATAATGTATGAAGCTGGACATAATAATGTCCGTATTCATTCATTTTTTTCAAAGTACGAAAAAAAATCCAAACCAATGAGACAGTTAATTGAGAGTGGAGGAAGTAACTATATGTCTAGAGTTGCCTTACAACACAAAGGAGCTTTTCACACATCAAATGCAATCCCAAATAGGAGCCTAAACGTTTGGGATTACGTATGCAGGAAGTGGCTTCTGTTTCCAGAGGTGATGAAGATTTTAGCAATGCTTTGAAGGATCCAATGTACAACCGTATACGTGAGGCTCTATATTCACATGATAAATCTAATGGTCATAAAAACAACTATAACCAGACAAATGTTACAAATGAACATGAATTCCCAGAGAAGGTTCAGCATTGTGCCGTTCATTCTCCATCAGAGAATTCTGTGACTAGGGACGAAAAGATTTGTGGTGAGATTGAGGAAATTGTTGGGGAAGACAATGAAGAAGCTGGGACTGTTAATATGGACAGTCAGAAACACGATTCTCCATTAAAGAATCAGATCAGAAAGGAAGATCCTATTGCTGAGAACAGTATTGGTGTCAGCCCTGAGGTTCAGCGAGCTTTGGCAAAACTGGAAATGGCCATTTCTTTCATTCGTAATTCATATGCTACGAGTCCTGCAAGCAGAACCACCAGCATAGAAAACTCACCAATGAAGGATGAAACAGAAGACTCAAAATCGTTAGGAAGTGTTCTCCAGACTTTGGAGAAGAATGACGTTGAAACTACTGCAGAAATAACCAGCAAGGAATTGACAGAGATAACTGCCTCACATGAACATATGATTAGCTCCAGCGATCATACTTCCAGGTAACTAATAGTGTTCGCTACACTGCTTGCATTAGTCTTTGGTGTTTGCTGGTGTTTTTACCTTAGTTCGTGGCTTGTGCACATGTGCTTTTGGTTGAGTTGACTTCTTTATAAAGGTATCAAAACCTTGTTGACCAAGTGGTCACGAGTTCGAACCTCACCGCCACCTAGACCTGACAAAAATTGATCCAACCTGTTTTTAACCAAAAACTCGACCCAAAAATACTAGATTTTGAACAAAGATTTTATTGACCGAATCCAAAATGACCCGCTAAAAATGGGTCAAACCCAACTGAACCCAAATAATGTGATAAAACTAAGGTTATATTTTATTGTTTTTCTTATTACCCATTATAGTGCATACACATAGATTTTCAATCAAGTTTGTAATGATACCACATAGTTATCTTACATTGTTTTCAAAATTGGTACACATTTAATTTTCTTATATTATTCATACTATTGTTAAATATATCTAAAAGATAATTAAAAAATCATAATAAAATATTTCGATAGCTTTATTTAGTTTATTATACTCTCTCCGTCCCAAAATGATTTACACTTTTACTGTTTGAGCCTCCCGATGACTTTTGTTTACTCGCCTGTTTCCATTGGTCATTTGATAAAATAAAACTTTCTTGTTGCATCTTGTTTTGTAGAACTTTTGAGTTTTTAAAATGTAATTTGTACTTTTTATTTCTATCCCAATTTATAGATAAAATTATTTTAAAAAATGAAATTTTGCACGTCGTAATAGTAGTATAAATGAATTTGGGTCTTTGGGAGGGAGGGAGGGAGTATGTATTTTTGATATTTTATTACTACATACGGGTATTTTTTAGTGCAAAATGGAAGTGCTAGTATGAATTTAAATATTTTTAAAATAAAGCTCATAACCGTTTGGTCGACCTGAAGTCGATAACACTCTGTCATTAACATGCAATTCTGAACCTGAAGCCGAACTTACCCGAACTTGATGTAACCCGTAGTGACCGAATCCGAACCCAACTTGACTGATCGTTTGTCGCCTCTACCACCACCGATTAAAAAAATTAAGGTTTCATGTGTAAGGCTCGAATCGGCCATGCATGCACGTGAGGGACGTGTTAGAATATAAAAATCTTTCATGAACTTACAACCACAAGCTACAAGCTTGAGCTTTTGATTGAGTTGATTCTTTGACGGAGCCTTAGGGTGGGTAAGGTCTACGCACACACTTCCCTGGGCCCTACTTCTTGTGGGATTTTAGGGGGGCAGTTGTACCCAAATCCTGTATTCGCCTCCTTATTCTATTTCCTTTTCAATTTTCCTCTAGGACTTTTTTTTTTAATTTTATTTCCTAGTATTGCCTGAGTTTGAAATAGACCCTTAATATTGGTGTGATTATTCTTTTGTAGGGATACCAGTTCCAGTTTGTGTACAAAGGAAACAAGCCATAATAGCAAAGCACCAGTATCACCAGATCCTTGTATATCTGATTCACATTCCATTGGAGATCAAGAAGTAGCAGGGACAATCTTAGAGGACATATTATTTAAGGACAATAACTCGAAAGCCACTGATCTAAATTCCATCATCAAAGAAGGCAGATTTGGTAAAAGGAAAACCAGCAAGCATAGATACTGCTGTTGTAATTTACTTTCTAGGCAGCACATTTCAACTTAACAATTCCTAGTAGGAGTCCAGCCTCCCCAGACCCTATTTTTTTTGGGATTTTACCGGGTCTGTTCTTGTTGTTGTACGTTTCAACTTAACAATCAAAAGGTCTGATTTCTATATACGGAGTATGTCAGATTTGTTTCTTTCAAGGAGACGCTTCAGAGTCTAGGATGGAAGTCTTGTCTTTGACATAAACCATAGAGGAATAACTTTGTCAAAAGCTTATTATGTCAACTTTTAAGCTTGGAATTGTATGATACATGTATTATTGAAGTTGAACCCTGTATTAATACTACTCAGCAAAGTCTTTGCAAGTAAAGAGTCCTAAATTAGAATATGTACTAATAAAATGAAATTCAATACTAGTACTATTATGAAGACTCCTAAGCTGATATGATTTGTCTAGCCCCTACCAGTGTAAAGAGAGGAAGAACCAAACACATTCATGGAAGCATATACAAGAAACAAAGCACATATTTCAACAGCATTGACTGTAGTTAAAATTATGATGAAACTGTTCTCATCCTTTTAAGATCTGACTTCTTTATCAACACACTTTTAGCCAAGTTATGTTTCCCTTCCCTGTTGAGACCATGAAAAACTGTTCTAAAATTAACTGCACTGGGAACAATCCCAGCATTCATCATTTCAGAAATAAGTTGGAGGGCTTCTTCAGACTGACCTACCCTACAGAGACAAGATATGAAGATTGAATATGTTTTAAAATCAGGAAACGGACCGTTCTGTCTAATATGATGAAAAACTCTCCGTGCATCAGCTAACTTCCCCATGTTTACATAGCCGCGAAAGAGTGCAGAGTAAGTGACGAGTGTTGGCTCACAACCAGACTCTTTCATCTCCTCAAGACATCCCAAAACTTTTTCTATTTGTTTCTCCTTGAAGTAGTGTACTATCAAAGATGTATATGTATGTATAGAGGGTGGGACCCCAATCTGTTTCATAGATTCTATTTTTGCCAATGCTGCTTTTAAATCTCCCCTTTTCAGTAGTCCATGGATTACACTTCCATATGTGTTCTTAGCCAGGGTAAGCTGTTCATCATCACCATCAACTTCATTAATCAATTGAATGGCCTCCTCCAACCTCCCTACTTGGCAAAGAGACCGAACACACAAAGAATAACTTAAAGGAACGGTGAAACCGGTTTTCTGTAGAGATGCAATACAGCTTCTGGCATCAGATAACTTTCCAACTTCACACAGACAGCTTAGGTAGGCTTCAGCTAGCTCTTTATCAGGTCTGCAACCCCTTTTGATCATTGCATGGAATAACTTTACTGCTTCGTCAACGTTCCTACCCTTCTTTCCACAAAGGCATTTGATCAAAAACTTAAATGTACTTTCATTAGGGCTGTGCCCTCTTTCTTTCATTTCCCGAAAAGTTCGGAGAGCAATGTGGGTGAGGCCTGTTCGTCCATATTGCATTATCATGATAGTCCAAGTGTCACTTGTTATCAAGCACCCCTTTCTCCTCATTTCATAAAATAGGCTTCTCATATGTTTGAAGTCCTTGGCCTGTCCTGCAATCTTAATGGCCATGTTGTAGGATTCTGTTGTGTGTCTATAACCAGTGTGGTTCCCTACCCATGAGAAAAACTGTAATGCCATGCCAGCATGGAGTCTAGAGTTATGCAGAATTTCAACAACAACTTCTGGTGTGAACTGTATACAGCATTTCTCCAATTGCTCTTTTATAGACCACCAATCCATGGAAGATGACAAAATTTGACTGATTTGGCAAACATCATGTTGATGATCCGAAGGAATCTGATCTTGTTTCGCTTTATTCTTTTCAACGTTCCCTACGGGATGGGCTTTACAATTCCGGTTCCCCTGAATATGCTTTATCTCGTTAAGCTTATCCACCTCTCCTTTCCTCTTCAAATAAGACGTGACCTGTTGAATGAATTCATCTCCAGGTTCAAGTTCAGAGGCTTCTTCCATTTCCTTAAATATTTTTAGAATATCATTTGTACCAGAAACTTTGATGAGCTCCTTGAAGAAAATTCTGTAAAATTTCTTACTGGGTTTTATTCCCCTATCCTTCATGATCCTGAAAGCTCCAAATGCTTCAAATATGCAATTTTGGCGCAGGTAGCCTGTAATAACAGCAGTCATCGCCGCACAATCCAAATCAACTCCTATTTCAATCATCTCATGATAGAGTCCCACAGCTTTCTGGAACTCATTTATCCTGAAAAAGTGTGTTATCAAAGCAGTATAGGTAGCCACTGTGGGTACTTGCCCCAAATCTTTGATCCTTTGCATTAGATCCAGTGCTTTTGGAAATTCGTTTATCATCAAGTATGCATGGACTATAATATCATAAAGATTATTATTTCCTGCATTTCTTTTCTTGGATATATCAACAACCTCCAATGCATCATTAATTCTTCCTGCCTTGCACAGTCCTTTCACCAATGTCTCAAAATCTTCAAACTCAAGGTTTACATTCTTATTCATCATTTCACGAATCAATTCTAAAGCTTCTCTTATCCTACCTGTAACACATAGGCTCTTGAGCATCAAACCATAGACTTCATGTTCTGAGACTTCTAATGTTCTGATCATGTCCTCACCAATCTTATGTGCTTGAAAGGCATCTCCAGACGCAGCCAAGCATTGTAGTAACTTCTTGAACAAACGCTCATCCAGCAGCATGCCATCATTGCTCATTTCCTTGTAGAATTCAAATGCAATGTCTGCCTTTCCGGCATTGCAAAGGGCATTCAACATAAGTTTATAAGCCAATAGATCTGGTTTGGGGCCATGTTTCTTCATCCTTTCAAAGACTAACAGGGCTTTTCCAATTAACTTTGCGTCCCCACAATGGGAAATGACAATGCTCCACGTCTTTATATTTTTCTCGCACGAATTCTTCCCCATTTCCTCCAACAGTGCATCAACCAGACCGAAATCCTTTGCCTCTGCAGCCATATAAATCATCACATTATACGTCCGCGTGTTGTGGCGGAACCCTTCCACTGATTTCACCCAATTGAAGAACCTGAAAGCTAAATGAGGAACCTTGAAGCACCTCTTCAACACCATCTCAACAATCTCACCACTATACTCAAAACATGCATTCTGCAACCGCTCTTCCATTGACACAACTTCATTCTCATCCCTAACAATTCCAGTAATTTTATGAACAATCGGGCTAACATCATAATCACCCGAGGCCCCCATTTGCTTATCGTTAGAAGAGAGCAATCCTCCCTTTTCAGTGGCATTTTCACAAACATCTAGTGTGCAAGGTGTTTTCCCTGCAGTGTCACCCGCATCCTGAGGCTGGGTTCTTCCTCGTAAAGAAGACCCAGATTCTTCTTGAACACTAGTCTTATTCTCTGAATACAAAATGTCACGGATTTCATAGAAGAGTGGGGTGAGATTCTGGGACTCACTCTCTCTGGGTTTCTTGCCTTTAATGGAGGAGGTGGAAAGTTGAAACCTTTGATGAAGTTTGAGCAGATTGTTCCTGGAAGTGGTGGTGGATGGCGCGAGGTTAGACAAGAACCGGGAAAAATTCATTCTTTTTTAGCACTGCAAGTGAAAATTAATGGTATAAATGTGCCGCTAAAGCTAACAATCCGTTCTTGCCATCACACCTTCTTGTGTTCAGATAATCAGATTTGTGAGGTAAACAATTCCCAAAGATTAATCTTGAAAAGGTGACATAGCTTTTTAAATTAATAGGAGTATCAAACAAACTTTTGATTTGAAATATGTTTTTGGTTCGTTGACAATATCTTTGGTTCAAGAAAATTTGAAAAAAAAAATATTCAGAAAAAAAAAAAAAGAAATTTGAAAAAAGAAAAGAAAATATTATTTATGTCATTTTCTTCACCAAAATGAAAAAAATTTTGTTTTTTCACCTTCTTAGTATATTTTATCATCTCTTTTTTCTTCTACTTTTTTTTTCATTTACACTCTAACTGAACAAAAAATTTATTTTTCACTTCATTTTTTTTTCTTTTTCATTTTAAATTCCTTAAACCAAAATGAACAAAATACATTAAAAAATAACTAAGCTGAACTAAAATATTTTCAATATATGGGGATAATGCTTTTTATTTTGCATAAAAAAAGTTAGACTTAAATTTTATTATTCAAAATTTTAATACAAATAACTGTACTAAAAAAATAAAAACAAATACTAAATTAAAATATGCTATTGCTTATAAATACTTGCTTTTGCTATAAAAATTAGAACATTTAAAATAAAGACTATGTAATAAATAAAAAAACTTAAATCAGTTAATCAAATATCCAATTAATATTTTCAATTTTTTTCTGTCCCCAAATTTAAAAAAATTACTTTCTTTTTTCTCCTTTATCTTAAAACAAATTTGAAAATTTGCATAATTAAAACTATAACATGTTTTGTATATCAAAATAAGATTTTTAATATTTTTTATATTCAAATAAGATTTCTTTTGAGTGCTAATATACTCTAACAAAAAAATTAATGCAAGACTTTATTTTAATTTTAGCATAAATTTAATGTTTTAATTAATTTTATAGGGATTATTTTTTTTTTAATAAGCTGTTATTCCCTATTTAGATTGTTCTACAAGGCTCCTGAGAAATCCGGAATATATAAATATATCCAATCGCTGATTCATTGGCCAAGCATTCAAGAGATATGGGTTGGGTTTGGCAAGACGATGACGACGGTTCTCGCAGCTCCGGTTCCGGCGTCGACATCAACATCGATTCCGGCAACCCTAGCCGGTCCCCCGCCGCGGACGGCGGTAATTTCCCCACCCTAAAAGTCGTGATGACGCATTGCCGAACCGAGGAGTCCGAGCCTGGCAAGTTCATCCGCAAGTGTGAGAAGACCGAGCAGATATTCAAGGACTGCGCTGGAAGGTGAGTCCCTCTGAGAAAATACTGGATGAAATTTTCCCTATTTTGTCTGATTTGCACCTTATTTGTTTGAAATTTGAATTGTCTGAGATCGGATTGCGATTTTATTGGCCAATATGTTTGTTCTGAGTTCCTGGATCTCGAATAAATTCGATGAATGTTAAAGGATCTTCATATATGTAGATACATTTCATCCCCATTAGGCACAGATTGGAATTGTTGAGGATTTAAAGTCCCAAGTTGAACACTCAGTCTAAAAAAAAGTAAAACTAATACGGATCACTACGTATATAATAATATGAGTTGTTTCTCCCATTGTCAATTGGTTTTGGGTTGGAATATCATCATTCTATGTGGTATTAGAACCCAGTTTTTGGAGCTCAATACAGAAGCCCAAGTCTATTTGAACAAGTTGCAACATTGAGAAGAAAGAATAAACTTTTTTTGCCCATGCTTCTCTCTGATAGAGAGTTAAACTCCTTTGCTTGCTTCAGTTCGACGAAGTTTATTCTTGTTGTTCATGAAAAGCGAAATCCCTCATCGAGACACCCACACTCTAGCAGTCTAGCTCCATTGCAGTGGTGGAGGTGGTAAATCATTGTTACTCCACATTGCATTAGGTGGGAAGACCAGCTTCTAGCGACCCCTAGGAGCAACCCTATCGGGTGTAGCTCCCGTATGTCGCAGCTACTTGTACAACATACTTTCCCGGCTTCCAAATTTTGAACCACATAGAGAAATATTGTTTGTTTGGTGTGGTGTAACTATGTTGTACATGTAGGCATGTAGCGTTCTTCGTTAGCCCTTAATTCTCTTTTGCAACTATATGCTCTCACATAGAAATCCTGCAGAAATTCTGTTTTTTCACTTCCTGGAATCTCACGTGTGCGCGTGTTTTGTTTTTGGTGAACATTAATTTTTCTAAAAAATGGGTGACGTTGAAGTTCGAACTCATTATATCTAATTCAGGTCAGCAAGGTTTTGAATTTTGATACCATGTTAAGAAACTAATTCAAGCGAAATCTTAACTGTGTGATTGTAGATCCAGGAAAGGTTAGGTTTTGTACTCTAGCAGAGTAACCATTAGTCATCTTACCACAGCTTTATTGTTTTGTTTTTGGTTTCTCGAACAGGCCTTCTGAGCTGGTGCAAACAAACAAAGAATACACAGAGGAAGACATGACAAGCCAAATGACTAAAGGGTCCCTGGGCCACCCTTTGGAGTCGTCCCGGGCAGGGCCATTTCTTCCTGGGCTGCGCGGTGACATTGAAGCCATGGAGCGCAACTTCTTCAGCGGACTAGACCGTTTCTTTGATGCGGCCGAGCAGACGATGAATGGTGTCTTTGGTTCGTTTGGAATCCCCCGCACTTATGATGGCAGTAACAATACTAGATCATTCCCAGCATGGCGCCGTCGAGGTGTACCAGTGGAGGAAGGCAACCCCTCCAGGAAACCTTCTACTGAAGTGAGTACTTCTTCTAATGGAGACATTGATTTTTCTGGGTTGACTAAAGATGTTTGAAGTTAGTTTCTTGTTGGGAAGGGCTGTCTCTCTGGGATTGAAGACTTCTTTCTGGGTTTAAATGTTTTATTGGCTGGTTATGACAGGTGAATAATAGCCAAATGTTACTGTATATTTCAAGACCATGAGTTCAATATTATACACCTTTGAGGGTAGAGTGTTGCTTGATACGTAGTACTTCTTTTTTAGTATTCAAGACTTGAATCCAATACTAAATTGAATTATGATATTAGCTCATCCAAAACTAATTGATAATGATACGGAGTATTATTTAAACAATATCAGTAGTTTTGGGGGTGTTTAATTAATATCATTACCAATTAGTTGAGATGGTTTTCTAACGCTGAGATTTCTTGAAGCTTGAAATAGGGCAATTAGTTAATCTAATCTAAAAATCGTCGCGTCCGGACTGGAGGTCTAGGAAGCAATGGGGGGGGGGGTAGGGAAGGACCCCAAAAATTAGGGGTATTTGGGATATGAAAAATGCTAGGGGTACACCAAAGGTGTACTCCAAATGTCCCCCACTCCCTCCTTGTCCACTAAAAAAGGCAAAAAAATTCAAAAAAAATAAGTAAATAAAAATCAAATAAAAATGTGTGGAGGAAAAGAGGGTGGTGTACATTTGGGGTACCCCAAATGGTGTACCCCTAGCATTGCTCTTGGGATATTATTCACTTCATATTGGTTTTTGTAGAAAATTACTCACGGGTGACGTAAGTTTTGTTGAAATAACTCTTAGGTCCCTCTATTTTCAAGAAGACAGCAGAAGTTCTTACATTTTGTTGTAATGACTAAAAGGAGACATTTCATCCAATATTTCATCTATAAACGTTAATAAATGTATTTTTTCCTTATTCTTTTCTAAATGTTTTAAGGTAATAAATCTTAGGTCACTCCTTTTTTTATTTCTTTGTTTTTCTTTCATTTTGTTACTATTTTTTAAAATGTTATTTTAGAATTTCTTCTATAAAATCGTATAAAAATTTAAAATTGTTTGTATTATATTAAAACAAATGAAATAAAAAAAATTAAAAAAAAAGAAAAAATGAGGTAATGGCAAAATAAGAAAAAAAGTATTGGAAAAATAGAAAAAAACATACATTTATTAACACTTACGGATGATGTATTGGATGAAATGTCCCCTCCCAGTTATTACAACAAAATATAATGACCTCGGTTGTCTTTTTGAAAATAGAAGGACTTAAAAGTTATTTCGACAAAACTCGCGTCACCCGCGAGTAATTTTCTATTGGTTTTTGTGCAAAAAAAGAAGACAAATATTTCGAAACAAAAAAGTACTTAATTATGTTCTGGGTGTGAAAAAAATACTCGTACATATTTACTTTTTTGATCTCATTTTCAAATTTCACTCTTATCATTTCACGAATGGGAAGTGTCGTTAGCGATGATGTGCAAATTGAATCTACAATTAGCAAATGCACATATAGTTCATATATCAACTTCATAATCTACTTGCTCCAAAAAAAACTTTATAGGGTACACACTCTAAATTTGTGAAAAATAAATGTTTAAAATGACTACTCCATTTTATATACTCGTCCAAATTTAAATTGTCTGTTTCAATTTACGATATTTGATTGAGATTTTTTAATGTAAATTACTCCGTATTAAAGAATTGGAGCGGAATTAAAAAAAAAATAAAATTACATGTTAAAAAGTTATACCAAAAGTTATATAAAATCTTAGGTGACATGACTATATTATTTTATCAAATGGGTAATGAAAATAGGGAAAGAAAATGAATAAATTTGCTTTGCAAATAATAACCATGAAACTTAATTTGGAACGGAGGGAGTACCTCGTAATTTGTAAATGTGAACATACTTTGTATATACGGAGTATTAAATATTGTAGCGGAAGATAAATTCTTTCCGTTTAAATTAAATTTTTCATTTTAATTTTCACAAAAAAAATGAACCGTGTCATATTACTTTTAAAGGAGTGCAAAAATTATTTTCTAATAAACAAAAAAAAAAGTTTAAAAATTTACTTTGGAACGAATGAATATAATGCGAATAAAGTATCGTAGAGGTCCCTGTACTACATAAAAATACTCAATTTAGTCTTTGTACTCAAAATCGAAGTAATTTAGTATATGTACTATTTTTTTGGATAGTCAAGTCCTTCTCTTCACTTTTCTATTATTTATCGTCCCAAATTATTAGCAATGATGTCTAATATTACTATAGATGACATAAAATTATTACTTGGACAGGTTAATTCATACTTATTTATAATAAGAAAAAATACAAAGAATAATATACATTTTTCATTTATTTATTTTGTGAAAAAATATATGGATAAATTTATTTATTATATAGTGATTAAAATTAATTAAAAAGTATGAATTATTATGGGGGAAGGTTCCCATGACATTGGGAACCAATGTCATGGGATGACCCGGGGGCTTTCCGGTGCCCCGTTCGTAAAATTGACGGTTCCTACCCCTCCTAAACCCCGGTAAACCCCCCACCCCGCCCCGACCCGAACACACCCCCCCACCCCTTTCAATTGCACCCCACAAGTCGATTTTGACTTTGGAGTCAAATTTTGACTACAAAATCAAAATCGACTTGTGGGGTGCAATTGTAGGGGGTGGGGGGGGGTTGTTCGGGTCGGGGCGGGGTGGCGGGGTTTACCGGGGGGTTACGAGGGGTAGGAACCGTCAATTTTACGAACGGAGCACCGGAGCGTCCGCGGGTCATCCCATGACATTGGTTCCCAATGTGATGGGAACCAAGGTGATTATTATGTTACATAATATTTCTGAGTTAATTGTAACATTAGACCTCATCGATAAAATTTTGGACAATATATAAGACACAAGTGAAGAGAAAGACGTGATTGGATAAAAAAGAAGAGCACAAGGATTAAATTATTTTTTTTTTTTGAGTAGTAAGACTAATTTAAATTTTTTTAGATAGCAGACTACAGGAACATCTACTCTCTCCGTCCCTAAATATTCACAACATTTGCTTTTTCAGTAGTGTCGGAAACTTTTGTTTATTTTGACGTTTTCATTGATTATTTGATAAAATAAAATATTCTTGACACCTCTTATTTCGAAGAACTTTTCATTTAGTTTTTTTATATGTAAATTTTATTTTTTATTTCTTTACCAATATGTAAATAAAATGAATTGAAAAAACTTGATATTTTACCTTGGAAATACAAATGTGGCAAATAATTTGGGACGGAGGGAGTATAATACTTTGCCCAATATAATGCAAAATACTGTACTCCGTATATTAATAAATAAATAAATACTTTCTTTCCAACGGAAAAACCTGCCGTTCTCCCTCCCTAGTCTCTCAATCGGAATTCAGAAACGCATGCAAACAAAAGAGTTTCGACATGCCCACAAATTGATAGAAAAATCGGAAGAAAATTTTGGATCAAGATCAAAACCCTAATTCCCCAATCCCCCCCAATTCAAGAATCAAGATCTCAAGTCCATTTGATTGATCCACACATACAGATTCTTAGATTACAGAGAAAGAAAGAAACCCCAGCTACCTCGTACAACAAAGAATTTGACAATCCATAAACCTAGGTTTCCCCTGTTGGCAAATCATCCCTTTTCCAATCCCCCACCTCACCTCAAATCATCTTCTTCACTATTTCTTGCAAGATCATATCTTTTTCGTGTACAATTATCATATACATTCACATTTGCAGTTCAATTTCATGTTGTTGGCATTTGTTCCCCAATTCGGATTTCTCTTGTGTTGATATTTATATATACACGAGAATGCGTAATTTTTCTTTTTTGGTGGGAGGAAATTGGGGGTTTTTAGATTCATATTTCAAGATTCAGTTCATCTGATGATGGGTAGCATAGCAGGACACAATTTATAGAGATATTAGGAGGGTAAATTTGTACATTCACTGAAATGGGGAACCACTGTGCCCATGGGAAAATATCCGGGAAGGGTTTCGATCCGGCTTGTTGGTGGTTCCGGATACCGAATAAGCTGAAAATCAAGAAAAAGGTGATAAGGGACAATGGAGGTAGTGGTGATAAGGAACCAGAAGCTCATGTTGCTTCAGTTCAGACCAAACCTCCAGAGGTTGAGCAGATAGAGAGAGGCGATAATCAGCAGAAACCCAAAGGGAGAGAACAGATTAGGGCTGAGAAGGAAGTGAAAAATGAAGCTGAGAAAGTAAGTGTAAATCCTGAAAAGGAGAAACCGAAGCCGCGAAAACCACTCAATACCAAGAGAATGCTGAGTGCTGGTCTCCAGGTCGATTCGGTCCTAAAGACCAAAACTGGTAACCTGAAGGACTTTTTCAGTTTGGAGGAGAAACTTGGGCATGGCCAATTCGGCACCACTTTTCTTTGCACAGAGAAGGCAACCGGACAAAGATATGCCTGTAAATCCATAGCAAAAAGGAAGCTCTTGACAAAGGAAGATGTGGACGATGTCAGGAGAGAGATTGAAATCATGCATCACTTGGCTGGGCACCCAAATGTTGTTTCCATCAAAGGGTCTTATGAGGATGCCGTGGCAGTTCATGTTGTGATGGAACTATGTGCTGGTGGTGAGCTCTTTGATAGGATTGTCAAGAGAGGTCATTACTCTGAGCGTCAGGCTGCTGGGCTAGCCAAGACTATAGTTGGTGTCGTGGAGGCATGCCATTCGCTTGGTGTCATGCATCGCGACCTTAAGCCAGAGAACTTTCTCTTTGTTAATGAGGAGGAGGATTCGCCCCTCAAAACTATTGATTTTGGATTGTCGACGTTCTTTAAACCAGGTGCCTTTGCTGTTAGCTAGAATCTTTTGCTGGCTTTCGTTTCAGGATTTGACCGTTTTTAAAAACTTTATAACATCATAAATTTCTTATAGGGGACATTTTCAATGATGTTGTTGGAAGTCCTTATTATGTTGCACCAGAAGTCTTGCTCAAGAGTTATGGTCAAGAGGCTGATATTTGGAGCGCAGGCGTGATCATCTACATTCTTCTCAGTGGTGTTCCTCCTTTCTGGGGAGGTAAAGTCTATACCTATATCTGTTTACTGTGTTTCGGCATGGACAGATTGTAACCAAATCATATGTATATGTGATGCAAATTTGGTGTGTTTTGTATGATTTTGCTGGGTTTGTTGTTGTTGTTGAGTTGCATGGATCATACGTAAATGTTGTCTTGTGTTTGTATCTTGACACAGAAACTGAACAAGAAATCTTTGATGAGGTTTTGAATGCTGACATTGATTTCAAGTCAGAGCCATGGCCTCACACCTCAGACAGTGCTAAAGATCTAGTGAGAAAAATGCTCGTAAGAGACCCCAAAAAACGGCTAACTGCTCATGAAGTTCTGTGTGAGTTCCTATGATCTTCTTTATTATACTCAGAAAAGCTGAACTGCTTGAACCATCAACAATCTTTATAAATTGCTGGTTTAATTATATCTGTACTTGGGGAACAAAAAAACTTGCAGGCCATCCTTGGGTGCGGATTGATGGGGTAGCTCCTGATAAGCCTCTAGATTCGGCAGTTTTAACTCGTTTAACGCAGTTTTCTGCAATGCACAAGCTCAAGAAAATGGCTCTCAGGGTACAAACTTTTTTCTTCAAATACAACTCTGTAAAATGCTATTGTAGAGGGTTTCTTGGAAAGAAACCTCTTTACACACCCTCCTCATGGGATCTTACTGGGTTTGTTTGTTGTACTTTTTTCCCCACCAAACGGGTTTCCAGGTCATTGCAGAGAGGCTTTCTGAGGAGGAAATTGCAGGACTAAGAGAAATGTTCAAAATGATAGATATAGACGGTAGTGGGCAAATCACCTTTGAAGAACTTAAGGTTGGGTTAAAAAGATTCGGTGCAGATCTTAACGAGTCTGAGATACGCGATCTGATGAAGGCAGTAAGTACATTTTTTTCATCTTTTTTTTTGCGTGTGCGCCATACAGAGTCTTATAGTTCCATTTTTTATAACGAAAAACCAGGCAGATGTGGACAACAGTGGCACCATTGACTATGGAGAGTTCATAGCTGCAATGCTGCAGCTTAGTAAAATCACTAAAGAAGACCATTTGTTTGCTGCATTTTCTTATTTTGACAAAGATGGAAGTGGGTACATAACTCCAGATGAACTCCAGAAGGCGTGCGATGATTTTGGCATAAAAAATCCCCATTTGGAGGAAATGATTCAGGAAGCTGATCAAGACAATGTAAGTATTTTTTTTCCTCATTACTGTAAAAATAAACAGTGGCAACGTTCATGCTAATCTTCCTACCTTTCAGGATGGTCGCATCGATTACAGCGAGTTTGTGTCCATGATGCAAAAAGGAACAATAAATTTAGGTAAGCAAATCTGTCATTTGGTTTCTGCTTTTCATCTTCTTCCTCGTGATTCTGAACCGAAGATAACTTTGACTAGCAGGTTGATAAACATCACCATAGCTCTCAATTCTGAAAACAAACACAAGTAGCTGATGCAAAATCTCTACTTGGATTGGAATTCCCCATACCAAACAAACATTAGGATTGAAGAAAGGATTTTCTTTTAGGGGAAAAGACCAAAAGGCCACTTCTTGGGACAATGACAATGAAGATGAAGAAGATGTATGAGGAATAGTAAGAATATCATACAAAGAGAGGGTGTTAAAAGCAAATATATCTTCATTTATTTATTTATTTACTTGTTTCTTTTGGAAGGTTGGGCATGTGCATAATTTGCACATTGGTACTACATGATTCTGTTTGTACACTAAAAGACAGACAAAACTTGTGTTTGTAAAGTATATATAAAGAAAGAATGTAATGCCAAAGAAGTTGGAGAACCATTTGCATTCACAAGCTGAGAATGCATAATTTTATATAGTGGCCAACAAAAACATAATGCACACCAGGGCCCACTGCCCATATGATTTGTTTAAACAAGAAAGGAATATGTCTGTGTTTCTTCTTCTTTTTTTTTTGCACACCAAAATGTAAGCCAAGATGAGCTATATAATAGAAATGGAGAAAAAATGAAGTGTAATTACAATTGTGGTGATGATAACAACTAATAAGACAGAAGAGAGTAACATTCATTGGATTCCCTTTTGCATTTTTCTTTTGTCCAACAAAAGATCACAATTTGCTTCCCTTTAAAAGACCATCAACATGGTTGTCCCAAACCTGCAGATTTAATTTATTTGCAGATATTATTCTGATTTTTACTTTGTTTACTTTGTCCATGTTTTGTTCAACAAAAGTTTTGTTTTTTATGGAGTATTTCTTTTTATTAAACAAAACTTTGTATGTGTTTAAGCCAGAGATCTTTTGGAAACAATCCCCGGACCTTACTTTTGTGAGATTTTACTGGGTTTGTTATTCTTGGATTCTGATTTCTAAGCTTTGTTGAATTAAATTGAATTTTTGGATGACCCGATGTTTTATTATATTCATAAATACAAAACTCACCACTGCAGATTGCATTTGCTCCTATCATTTTGTAGTTTTTTTCAGTGTAGAACTTCAAGAACAGCCTGTGAAACCAAGAGACCCAAACATGGTACAAGCTGCTTCCATTAACTTCCCTGGTAACAAACAGGAAGAAGACAAAGATGTTAGCCAATGGCCAGAAACTTTTGACTGTATAAGAAGCTAGAATCTGTATCATGAGATTAATGTTCTCAAATCCTTTAAATCAAGAAAGAACCCATTTGGAAAGAACTAAGTAAAATGAATGACATAAAAGTATAGTTAAAAGGAGTAATTTTATTTATTAAAAAAAACTAGGAAAGAATGATTTTCTTGATCATTTTCTCCATCATAGATTCAACAAAAGCAATAAAGTAAGGCTGTGTTTGGTAACACAAAAAAAGTAAAGTCCAACAAGTTGGCACCAGCACCAAAAAGCTGGAAAGGGTAGAATAGTCAACAATCAGACTGGATACACATCTAATGATCTCAGAATGGGAAAATTAAAGATGGAGTAACAGATCTTGAGAAGAAAGGAATAAAAAGGAAGGGGACTCAATAGAAAGGTAGAAGTTAGGACTTAGGAATCAATCATTTATATTCTGTTTGGAAAATAATAAGAAACTGATAAAATAAACAACCTAACTGTAAAAACATTTAATCTTTTCTTTTTACCCATTCCGAAAAAAAATCAAAAAAAAAATCTTTTTTTTTCCTTAACAAATTTCAACCACAGTTATCTTATTCTGTGAAAGTCAAACAAAGACCTCAGCACAAGACTTTATTTTCTTTAACAATTTATTGTGCCATTCATGTTGTTCTAATTTTTTTTTCTCCCCTCCAATAAATCACAATCATATACGAGTAGTTAAATTGTTTTAATCATCACGGGGTCAAGTCAAAATAAAAATGAAGTCAAACTAAAGATATGGTGCCTAACAAGTCCACAGACTGGGCTTTGCTGGAATCTTTTTTCTTGTTTTTTCATTTTTCATTAATATATATATATATATTGGCAGTGGAAGTAATAATAACACAATTCATATAAAAGCCCCACAAATGTGGCCCTTCACGTTTAATGCCACTGCCAAAAGGCCCCCCACCCCCACCCACCCACCCACTCAAACCACACACATTAAAGAGAAAAAAAATCTTAACTTAAAAAAAAATGTACACACCGACAACTTGTTCATCCACCCTTAATTTATGATACCCTGCCAAATTTATTTACATAGTTTTTAAAAAAATGTTAAAAAGTAAAATATGAGTTGTTAGAATTTGTTTACGAGAAATAAAAAAAGATGGACTGAAAAAAATGTGCAAGGAATAATTAATTTGTTAAAAAAATAGATATATGATGTGTAGAATTTGTTTTTCCTGAAAGCTCAATCATTTATTCATTAGTACACCTCAACCTGGTCGTGGAAGTAGAAGTAAATTAATCAATATTTTATACACCTCAAATAGTTTATTCAATTTTTTACATAAAGTAATACAGTGTTTTCGTTGTCAAGGAAATGAAATTGAATAGGATTAAGCTATTTGTACATCAAAACTTGTACGTCATTTTGTACTCCAAAAGCATACACAGACATTTAGTGCTATTGTGATGCGAGTGTGGTGATTTACATTGAAAAAAAATGTCAGCGCAATTTTTTTTAAATGAACTAACATTTTGTACCAATGTGAATCGTTAAAATGTTGGTACATTTCTTTAAAGTACAACTTGAGATATACTTTTTGGTGTACCCTAGCATGGTTGAATTGAATATTACTCCATTTACACTCATTGGTTGTTAGTCATGTCAGAGCATCACTAATGGAGGACAATAGCTTATGTGTCAAATGAACATAGTTGAGGAAAACTGAGGGGTGTGATTAAGAGGGGAACAAAATACTCCTCGGAGAGAATATTTTTTTTTATTGAGTGCAAAATGATGCATTAATTTTGAATTATTGAAAATAAAATGAATATTTTGATAAAAGATAAACAGAAAAGGGATGATTAGAGTAGGGTGAAAAGAACAAAAAATGAGAAAATGACATGACATAAAAAATTGATGATGGGGAGGGAAATATGAGGAGAATGAATAGTGATGCTCCTTCAAAGACAAAATATAAATTATCTAAAAATGCATTTAATTACTCCTTTTCCAAAAAAAAGTTGCCTTTACTATTCCAGAATTAAACTACCCCGGAGTACTAAAAAAATTCATTGGCGCATAGTAAATCAAAATCATCCTTAATCTAGCTCTTAGGGCTGATATGAATCATATGATTAGGTAAATCCCAAATCAGGCTATGATTAAAGGCACACAAATCATGATTAAAACAACTAATGACACTCCAAAAAAGATTAGCATAATTAGTTTGGATTATGCTATGTACCCCAAAATTTGTACCCCGCAGTTTTGCACCAACACTTTGTGTTGGTGTAAAACTAATTTTTGTTAAACGCACCAACATTCGTGTCCGTGTGAATTTTTATTAACGCACTAACACTTGTGTCGGTGTAAACCATCGAAATGTTTGTGCAAACCTGTAGTGTACAATTGGGGTATTAGTTTAGAACCAAACACTTAGTAACATACCTCTTCTTTGCTTTGGAACAACCTTGGTATTAACGACAGGGGCAGATTTGGAAGTTCCAGCCTTCTTAATCTCCTCCTCCTCCGGAAACAGAACCCCGTCAATCCCCTGAACGGAAATCCTCCCGTCGGTATATATGTCCGGCTCCACCAAATAAGCCGACCCGTCGCCGGCGCCGAATTTCACGGACCCGTCGGCCTCCACCGCCGCCACCGCGTGAGGCAATCTCAGCGTGTCGTATCTGACCTTCGTAAACCTCCTCACCGCATTGTACATGCTCTCCTCCGTCTGGTACTCCGGCAAGATGTGATAATACATTATCTGCTCCGGCGACCCCGGCTCGCTCAGCTGGTCGGCGGTGAGCTTCGCCATGGCCTCGTCGTTCGGCGCCAGCACCGTCAAAACGTACCCTTCGGACACTAATCTCCCCATTTCCGTGGCCAGAGACGTCAGATTGACCAGAATGTCGGCCAATTCGTTGTACCCGCCGTAATGCAGGAGCGTCTGGATGAAATCTTTGACTTGACTTTCCCCGTCGAAGTGCCGGCGGCGGGTTCCTGGTCCCGGGGCGGGCGCCGGCGCCAGAGATGGGCCCGGAGCCATGGCCTCGTAAATGGGTAAAGCGGGAGGCGCGCCGGGTTGGGCCCGAATCTCGGGCTTCTTCAAGCGCTGAGTCCTGGGGTCCACCTCCGGAGCTCCGGTGGGGAGGACGGCGGAGATGACCCTCAAACTCCGGCGAGCGTTGAAATCACGCTGAACGGACTTGGGAATCAGCACGCGTCCTATCCCGTGAATCACGCCGTCCGGCCGGATGATATCGCCGGGCCTGAGAATCTCCCCCGGAGATAAAACAAGATTCTCCCCGCCGCAAAGGGTGCGGACACCTCCGGCGGGCCAATTTCTGATGGATTCCAGGCGAGTGGGCACGATGTGGAAGAGGAGGAGACTCTGTAAAGACCCGAGATTTCCGGGTTCGAGCAAGAACCGTTTGAAATCCGGGTCCAAACCCCTGTCCAGAGCCTCATTACTGGGGGCGAAAACGGTGACGTTGTGGAGAGAAACGGCGTCTTCGAGGGCGTGGAGGAGGAGGGCCTTCTCGACGAGCTCGGAGAGCTCGGTGTAATGGGAATCGAGAAGGGCGACAAGGACGGAGTTCGAATTGATCTGGGAAACAGAAGCAGAGTGTTTCTTTGCCGGGGAAGAAACGGCGGCGGCAGTTTCATCCCGGAGAATCAAGAAAACGGCGGCGGCGATGGAGAAGAAACAGAGCTGCTTGGAGAAATCCATGGCCGCTCTCTCTCTCTCTCTCTCTCTCTAGAAATTGGGTCTTTAATTTCTCTCTGAAATTGGAAGGTGGTGGTGGAAGCGTGTATATGACGAAGGTGGTGGTGGTGGTGGTTGTTGGAGAGCGCCGGGGGTGTAAAATGTCGGTGGGGATGATGTCGCTGTCCGGCGTAACATTGGAAAGTACGGACAGAGCAGTTTCCTTTGCCACATACGGTGGAGTGGGGTGTATCTATGCAAAAAAAAAAAGTGATTTTATTAAAAATTATTTGATTAATCTTTTTTTGAAAGCATGATTAGATTAGGTTAATCTACAATCACTCAAAATCATTTTTTTGAATTACTCCCTTACAGTGAAATGAAAATTTAAATTCTTTTCAAATCATTTTATTTAAAAATTGGTATGATAAAATAAAAATAAAACTTACAATTAATAACTATTCAAAACATATTTCAAAAAATTTCATCAAAAGTTTTACAAAATAAGAGATGATAAGAATATTTTATTTTATCAAATAATTAATCAAACACATATATATAAGTGTTATTGTCAATTGAAACTCCATAAAAAACTTAATGAGCACGCCGGAGGTAATATTTTTTTAAAAAAATGTACTCCGTATTAGTTATAATTCTTAGAAACAATAAGAACTAAAATTAATGAGCACAACATTACATATATATATAAGTGTTATTGTCAATTGAAACTCCATAAAAAAACTTATGCTAATACTCCGTATATAATACGGAGTACTACATTTCAAAAATATTATAAAACGTCAATATACGGTGTACAAGCTAAAAGAAATTAAAAGAAGAAAATTCCCAAATAATTAATACTTTCCTTTTTAGTCGTCTCAAAAAATTATACATTTCTTTACTTTCCTAATAATATGATAGAATATGTGATCCACATTTTTCCTCTTTATTATAAATAAATTTTAGTCACTCACATTTTATATTTTTGAACACTTATCTTAATTTACTTAAAGTCAACTGTCTTAATTAATTAGGATATATTTAGGAGTATAAATTAGTGAAAGTTATGAACAAACTCCAAGTTCCTTGTATATATAGAACACGGAGTAAGTGCCAAAAGTAAGATGTCATACCACACAAGACTACAAGCCCATGATTTTTTTGTTTAGATTTTGGTAATAATACCCTAAATTAGTGAAGACAAATTTAACAATTATGATCCAAAACAGACAAAAAGAAAGAAAACTCAAGAGAAAAAAAATTCTCCATGTCGAAAAAAATGCAACAGTTACTCTTTTGTTCTCTCGATAACTGTTGTTTAATATTTAATCGTTTTAATTGATCATTTGATAAAATAAAATATTCGCGTCACATCTTTTTTTGTAAAACTTTTGTTGTACTTTTGAACGATGTAATTTTTATTTTTTATTTCTCTGCTAATTTGTAAATAAAAAATTTAAAAAAATAATAATATTTTGCAGGTTTTTCGAAATGTGACAAATAATTTGAAGATATTATCTTGGAAATGTCATGTAATTAATGTAGATTGTAGAAGCATCAATAATAAAGACTCACAAACAATGCATGACTATACGGTTGAAGACATCTGTGAATGTGTAGTGTTATTGTCACTAGTCATTTGTATATATTTTGGACCGTCCCAAATGTTTATAATTCCGGAGTAGATCTTTTCAAGCACTCTTTTCAAGCACTAATGTATTATTGTTCACTGCTCCATTCGTCCTAAATTGTATACAACATTTCGAAAATGTATAAAATATCATCTCTTTTGAAGAAAAATTATTCAGAATAATTTCGATTCTACCAAATCTTTCAAAAATAATCTCACCTTTTACTGTTATACATAATAATTCCAACTTTATTGAAATTTGTGAGTTTTCCATCGCCGTTAAGTTGCTAACGGTGGGTTTAACGAAAAAGGTCTGTTTTGCACAACAAAATCAAATTGTGGATTATTTTTTTATGAATTTTCATTTTTTAATATTTTTGAAATTTTCATTTAAATTTTTAAAATTATTTTCTACATCCATCATTTCTTTTTATTTTTTAAAGAATAGTCTTACTTTAAAAAAATAATAGATAAAAATAACAAAAATGTGAAAAGTAACTAAAACGATACAAAATTAATAAAACAAATAAGGTAATCAATAGAAGCTCATTTTAAATTGGTAAGAAGTAAAATAAAAATATACGGAGTGGTGGGTTTTAATATTTTAGGCACTATACAGAGTATTAATGTACCACTTCTTCTTTTTTATAAAAACTTATCTCGAATAATTCCAACTTTATCAACTAGCATATTCTTTTAAAAAAAATAAGTTCTACATTAATGTTTTGTATATTGCATAAAATGTTAAAACCCACCACTCCATATCTATTTATTTTATTTCTTAGCAGTTTCAATTTAATTTCTATTCACTACTTTATTTATTATATTAATTTTGTATGGTTTTATTCACTTTTTCATTTTTTTATTTTTTTATATACTCCTTATATTTTTATTTTTTCTAAAGTAAGACTAATGTTTAAAAAAAAGAAATGGAGGTAGAAAATAATTTAAAAAATAAAATAAAAATTTCAAAAAAGATTTAAAAACAAAAATTCATCAAAAATAATTACAACTTTCATTTTGTTACGCAAAACAGACATTTCTGTTAATCCACCATTAGCACCTTAACGACGACTCAAAACTCGCTAATTTCAGTAAAGTTGGGATTATTATGCATCATAGTGAAAAATGAGATTATTTTTGAAACGCCAGGTAAAGTTGAGATTATTTTCAATAGTTTTCCCCTCTTTTAAAATCCTTTTATTTATAAATTAATAGAGAAATAAAACAAAAAATTACATCGTTCAAATAAACATAAAAAATTCTACAAAACAAGATGCAATAGAAATATTTTATTTTTCAAATAGTTAACTAAAAGGAGTAAACAAACAAAAATTATCGAAAAGCTGAAATAGTAACTATGACATTATTTTGTGTCAAGAATCAAGAATTCGAGCAATATTTCAACGTCAGCTGCTCTATCAATCACTTGTCCATGCTTTCCATCTTCGACTTTGATTGTCTAATAAAAAAAGCATGTATGTTCTTATCTGCGCAAGAGGGTACAGATGAATGCAATCTTATATATTCTTGGTCAACGGATAAACTTTACAATACAACTATATGTTTTAGAAGAATTGGCGGTAGCACCAACAATTTCCCCTCTCAAAGCTTTGAGTAAAACTAAAATAATTTAGAAAATACCACCTATAAAATTTATTTCAAAACTTTGAGTAAATCCCAATAGCTCTTTAAAAAAATACAAAAGGGTTGTTTAGAGAAAAAAAAGTCTACTTTGTTGGTTAATTGGTCATGGTTGCTGGAATGGATTTTGTTGGTTAATAGGTCATGGTTGCGTTAACCGATTTACGGAGTAATTTTTACGGAGTACTATCTTCATCCGGTGAAAACTGAAAAGTACTCCTTTTATCTCAAATGAAGTATGCTCCTTGATCAATGTGTAAAAATCATCTTTTTAAAATTTATTTTATTTACAAATTTAAAAATAAAAATTTTACATTAAAAATTACATTAAGAGTTTTATAAAAAAAAAAGAAATAATAAACATATTTTTTTAATCAAATAATCAATAAAAACATGAATCCAAATAAAATTATCGAAAGATCAAAATAGTACGAGTAACTGTATACAAAATATTTTATTTGGAGATAGAGAGAGTATTCAACTTAGATCTTTAAGACTTTGCGAAGAATTTTAAAAATATATGGTAAAAATTTATGTAGAGCAAAGACATTTTTTAAATTAAATTCTTTCTCTATTTCAAAATAATTTCTCTGGTTTAATATTACATCTGTTCCAAAATGATTGCCTTTTTCTTTTTACTGTAAGGAAAAAGGCTAAAAGTATTCTCCCTTCTCGTTAATTTCTAAACACTCATTTTTTATTCTTTAACTTTTTTTTTGGAAAAAATTGTTTTCTTAGTCTGAAAAAAAATTACACTTTTCACCATTCAAAAATCATAAAAACTTTTGTATTCTTATGCGTTTTGATTTATTATTTGATTAAATAAAACATTTATATCACTTCTTATTTTATTAAATTTTTGGCATAGTTTTTAAATATGTAAATTTTATTTATTTTTTTCTGTACCAATTTTTAAATGTACCAATTTTTAAATAAAATGAATTGAAAAAATTTCATTTTGATTATCTACAAAGTATACAACAATTTAAAACGGAGAGATTATAATTACTCCCTCTATCCACCATAGATCTTCTCAGTCATTATTCACAGAGTCAAACTTCACTCACTTTGTTTGCTTATTTTTACTAGTCATTTCGTAAAATTATATAGTCTTGTCACCTCTAGTTTTGTAGAACTTTTCATGTAGTTTATTACTATATAAATTTTATTTTAAAATTTTAATCCTATAATCAATTAAATTGAATTGAAAATGAAGTCGATCAAGGCTCGTAACGCGTAATGGGAAGATCTTAGTTGGACGGATGGAATATATAAAAGTCAAATATTATATGGCAAACAGTAGGCTTCACTCACTATCGAAGTGCACGAGGCGGCGCGTGAAGGGCAATGCAATGCTTCATTCGACAATGCAACGGAAAAGGACGGGCAGCCTACCCACACGTAATACTAGTACTGTACTTCTGTCTTTCTATGCGAATTGACAGATTTGCCCTTTTTTGTCGGTGCGTTTGTGCAAACTGTAACTGCTGGTAATCACTGTGTTCCTCATTATAAAGGCCCATTAATTACTTTTTAATTAGATGAGAATAATAACGTAATTTCATTTTACATTCGGCAAGGGCGTACTACAAGTTTAGTTGAAATAACTCGTAGCTTGTGTTTGGATAGAGTGAAAATGGAAGGAAAGAAAAGGTTGGGAGGGAAAACACAATTCCCAAACACAAATTCTCCTCTCAATAGGTGAGAAAATTGTTTAGATGGAGAGAAAACTATTGGAATGACACTTTTGTCCTTTATTGCATTCACTTTTTAAAAACATAAATATATAATAAGGGTAAAATTATCTTTTTATTTTAACATATTTTCTTTCCACTTACCTTTTCTCTCCATTTTCTATCTATCCAAACAACATTCATTTTCTTTTCCTTTTCTCTCCATTTTATCTTCTCTCCCATTTCTTTCCACCCAATTTCTCTCCTTCCATTTTCTCTCTTTATCCAAACAATGCCGTAGGTCCCTGCATTTCAAAAAGACATCAGTGGCCCTTACATTTTTTGTAAAGACTGAGAGGAAATATTTCATTATTCCATCCAGTATTCCATTAATGAACGTTAAAAACTACTCCGTATAATTTTCTTATTATGTTTTACTATAGTCATTTTAATTGCATTTATTTTTTATATCAGACAAACAATTCTCAATTTAAAAAAAAACACTTACATAAGGAATTGAGAATAAAACTTTATGAAAAAGAAAATTAAAGAAAAAAGAAATTAAAAAGTGAAGGCCCTAAGCTTTATTAACATAAACCATTAAACGAAAAATAAGAAAAATACATTTTTTGAGGATCATTTGCGAAATAGTAAACAGGATAACCCTCCAGCCTTTACAACAAAATGTGAAGTCCTCTAATGTCTTCATGAAAATGCAAAGAGCCACGAGTTATTTCAAGAAAACCCGCGTAGTGATTTTTTGTTTTTAAAAGGTAGGACATTATTTGATTTCTCCAATCCAAATCCTCTTTTCTTTCCTTTCTTTTAGGCATGAGTATAATGTGTACACGCACTTAAAATTTACAATAATACTGCCTACGTCCTAGTATATTTATCAAATTTAAATTTTTCGAGTCAAACTGGATAAAACTTTGAGCTTATATTGTTCTCAATTTGTATTGCATATTACTCCGTAGTATAATGAAATAAAATTTTAAAAATTCTCAACAAGATAAATCTAATAAAATTATTTTTATACAAATATAAATTATGATTTTTATTTAATTGAAGCTCAAAACTAATCATGTTTGGCTTGAAAAAGACAAACTTGACAAATCTACTAAGACAGAGGGAATAGTAGTCTAAAGAATGAGGCATGTTTCATACTACTAAAATAACCCACCACGAGTGCCCCGCGGATGACAATCACAAATGATTTACGCATTCGTAGAATCTGTGTTTACAAACGATATGTACAAATCATCTGTGATTGTCATTCGTAGCATTTTGGTAATAAGGATGTCGAAAACTCCCAGTGAGAAAGGGAGAAGCGTTTTGGATTTCATTTGTTATTTGTACACACACTCAATCGACTCGATTCATTATCTAGATGAGAGAAAACCCAGTGTAGAGTGATTTTATCTTATCTTATTCAGATGGAGAGAATGTAAATGGAAGCCATATTTTTGACAGTGATAATGTTGGAACCTTAGAAGAAGAGGAAGGATGTTGAACTTGAACTGCCCTTTGCCAAACCATCCAGCAATGTCTGGTGCACATACCCGCATTTCAAGCATTGTGCATCCTGGGAGAGAAAAGATGTACACATAATAATATACATGAGTTACGATATTCTTCGGTTAGGATATGCTAAAAGTCACTTTGAATATATAAAGACTCCATCTACTATGCCTACCTTTGAGGTTAGCAGAATTGTGGTCAAGCAACAGTGCCGTTGTTCTTCACCTACGCAAGAATGGTCCTTTTTTTGTTAAGATCATGGAAGAATTTGCAGAAAACAAATGAACAATGAAGATGAATAAGAGCTCTCGAGATTTTCGTGGGAACACCAAGTGGACAGTATAGGGCTATACATATTGATGAATTCAGAGTACGTCGTGAGTACAAATAGTTGCAGGGAGAATGTTAAAGGCACAACATAAAATATAGGTTAAACTGCGTGAAAGAGAGCAATACACCAAATACTACATCAGGCTCCACAACCCAACAATTTTGTCATTTCTAAACTCCACAAGAAGAATATTGGCATTCTTTTTTCTTTTTCCAAATCAAATATATCAAAAAGTATCACCGCCATCATCATCATCACCTTGATCCCAATTATGTTAGGGTCGGTGGCCGTGGCACATTATTTATAACCTAGTTCAATCCTCCATTCCACAAACAAAGCCTAAGAGGCTACGGCTCATTTTTAGAGACATTCACTCATGAAAAAACACATACTCTGTATTAGGCAGGTTAATATTTTTTCCCAATAGATAAAATCTTGTATCAATAATACAAAAACAGAAAAATCTCGCAAAATGTAGGGTCTTGGGAGGGTGTGTGTACCCAGACTTTACCTCCCACTAGGGGAAGAGGGGAAGTGAAAAGCAGAATGCAATCTCATTTGTTTGGGCAACGAAAACTTACCAGAGGTCTCCCACCTCTTGAATCGCACTAGCCACGAATCCGAACAAAGCTGCGTAGGTATGACTTGATCCACCCAAACACGGAAATGTGTTCCTTTTTTGTCTCCATAACACGCCTTTAATGAGCTAACACAGTCCTCGAGAGTTTTCTCAACGCCTGATGGGTGGATTAAAATTCCAGATGGACACTGTAATACTTAAGACTCAGAATATAATCCTGACACCAAAAAATAGGAATACTGGAAATAGGTAAAAGGTAACTTGGAAACATACAAAAAAATCGTTAATCTGTGCAAAAGTGGCCTCTGTGTTGTCAATTTCCCCACGCCTCCATTTTTCAAAAAACAAATACAATTCCACAACTTTATGAGCTGGGCCAGTTCCCTCGGAATATAACAGGCCCGTGACATCTCTTGGAGACTTGTTTGGGCCCAGGTTGAAATGGCCAATGGCTTCTATGATGCCTGCTGCACACCTCCCTGTTGCATGAATTATTCTTGGATTATCTTTGGCATTTGCAGCATGCCATTGCAACAATTCCTCTTGGGCATTGGCAACCTGCCAATGTAAAAACATGAACTTTGAGGGTCACTTTGGAACTCAAAAGTTAGGGAAATAAAATGAAGAAAAAAATAGAGGAAATTTGGAAGGAAAGAAAAATATAAAGGAAAAAGAGTAATAAAGATAATATAGAGGAACTTCCCCTACCATTTTTTTCCGAATTCCAAACCTAGGCAATAACCAAATTCCCCTAAAAAGGGAAGTCCTTATGGTGCATGATATGATTAAGAACAAAACGAGACGGTACTATGAAGGAGAGACATTCCTACCATCACACCATACACGTCTGGAATACTAAAAAGTTCAGCATCATTTCCAGAATCACCACAGGCAAGAGTGTTTTTGGGCAGTTTATCCTTGCTTTTCAATTTCTTGAGCAAATATGCCATAGCCTGACCTTTCCCAGCACCTTGTGGCAAAATATCCAAGTCCATCCCTCCACTATAAATTATCTTGACATCCAACTGATGATCATAAAACAGAGAAAAATCTAAGAGCAGTTTAAAGTGTAGATTCTAATTCCCGCGTAATGGCATATGGAGGTTTTACATTTGATGCAGCAAGAAAGAAAAAGAACCACACTAAAGGTCTGTTTAGAACTTGGGAAATGCTAGGGAAAAAATAGAAGGAAATTGGAAAGGAAACTCGCAAGGAAAGAAGAAATCATGAGGGACTATTTAAAAAAAATTGGTTCGAACTCATTGTATCAATTTTAGATATATGTACTCATATATGTAAGATTTTAAAAACTTCTAGTCTCATTTGATTTTCCTTCATATTTTCCAAGTAGAAATGTAGACCCCATGCATCATAAAACCATTTTGCTTTAATTTTTTCCTTTCCATACTACTTTATTAGTTCTGAGCATCTCCTAATTGTATAAATTTTGATAAAACCAGAGCTGTTTTATGCAAAGAGGCACCAAAGCAAAAAGGAAAAATTAAAAAATCATACCCCACGCTCAGCTAAACGGGTGGACAGAGCTTTTGTGATATCTCGAGCCTTATCCTTCTGAACATAAAAGCTAACCTTGTGTGGACGTTGTTCGGTTTCTGACTGGAATGAAATAAATGTATAAAACACCAAAGAACCCATTTTCCAGCTCATGCTTTTAACTAGAGAAATGAATGGATCAAAGGTAACTATATTACTGTACTTGGAGTTTCAATTCAGAAAACATGCTCGTCTCCTCAGTGACTATGCTTCGGTCCCATTTGTGATTCAAATATTCTTCCCATCCATTGTCTGGCACCATTGAGTTGCCATATGTTATTTCAGTGCCCACGGACAAAATGGTGATATCTGGGGTTAGCATTGGCTTTTCTTTCCTCAATTCTTTATAAAGAGTGGGTGACCTCCCAGTTGAAAACACGAGCAATGAGTTATTGCGATAATTAGCTTCCCATAGAGCATTAAACCTCAGCAGAGAAAGGTTCTCAGCATCATGATGATCAACCTGCAAAGCATAACCATCTTCGTGTAACGTAACATCCGCACATTGCTTAGAAAATACATAGGACAAAAGAACAGCCACCAACCATTGTATGATCAAGATCTGACACAATCATGAGATGAGCAGCATCAGTTAGGCGATCCATCGTCACCCTAATGTTATTTCCTCTCTGCCAGTAACGTTTTAAAAAAAAAAACCAGCAAAAAAAAAACAAACAAACAAAACTTCATAAGATATCAGATATGTATGTCAATGATTTGATCAGTTGGCTTATCAGAAACCTTTAAAGATAAAACCAAAACCTATTTAAACAATCAATTATGGTTTATGAATCAATACAGGGTGCAGAAAACGAGAAAAAAAGGACTAAGCAGAAAATGTGTCCCTTGATCATATGACATATACAAACTAGCCCCTTATTGGGAGAAAGTGAACCAAATAGTTCGTGAAATCCCTAAATCATTACTTCTATAAGAAATTAACAGATCCGATTGATCGAGTTCATGCACGACAAACCACTAAGCTCGATCTGAAATCAGATACAGTCTGGAAGAAGTGGATTGAACAACAAATCTTACAATAATACAGATCAGTTGCACTGAGAGAAAGAGATAGTGATTTGCCAATTTTACCTGAGCAGAGAGGGAACTGGAGTGATGATTATGATTCGTGGGAGCACAGCAGCGAAGGAGAAAAGATGGGTGACGATTACCCAAGCTTTGAAATGGCGGTGGCATATAGAAATGGGGAGATTTTTTTTTTTTGTGAGTGGGAATTTTTTGGTTCCCAATTGTGAATTTTGAGATGTTTTAACTTTTAAGTATGTTTTTCTTACACTCAATATAGGAAATTATTTTTTCATTAGACTCTACTTTTGTACAATTTCGTTTTTAGCTTATTATTTATTCTTCTTGAAATCAGATAAGATGATCAACTCAAATCGGATCCAACAAGATCAAATGAGATCTTTAAAAAAATCATATCATGTCTAATCAGAACTGACGTACAATTCTTCAGTGAAGAGAACTCATGTGATCCGCCTCTTTTGTGAGCTCCACTTTTGCGGCGTTGAAAGAGGAGACGAGCTCCTCTCTGCCTCATAAGTTACTCTCGTTTTTTGACTTTTTGTAATTTTTTAAAAAGAGTTGAAAAAAGTACAAGTTTACCATAATATCATTAATGAAATGGGTGGAGTATATTAAATGAGATAGGTGAGGTGTAATAAATTAAATAAGTGAGAAAAGATGTGATATTTTAATTATTAAAAAAGATAATGACAAAATCTATGATGGGCTTGTGCAAACAAGGGTCGGCCAGTCCGGCCTGCCTAACCCGACATTTAAAAGAGGCGGATATGGACATCCTTTAATACTCACATGAGCGGGCCGGCACAAGCTCGAATTGTGTATGAGCGGACGAGAAGTTACTTTTAGCTCATCCGGGCCAACGGGCCGCCCATATTCATGAAATACATTTACTTTATTATTCATTAACCAGCCAATATAAATTTTAAAATTTTATATAATTCATGTATAATAGTTCAATTCACTCACTTCTTTTAAACAAAAATCAATAGTCTTTTAATGAAACAGTATGATAGGTTTATTAATTATGCAACAATATCTCTATTATGTATTCTATATAAATGTGGTGCTTGGTGATTTTATTTTAAACATTGAAAAAGAATTCAATGTTTTTTTTTTAATTTTTTTTGTATAAAAAAATATTTCTTGATGTTTTATCCGGGCCGGGCGGCCCGGTGGGTAGTTCGGCCCGCTAAGATGGGCAGGTATGGATAAAAAGTTTAGCCCATCATGTTCGGTTCGGGCCAGAAATTTATATCAAGTCCGATCCAGGTCCGGTGCAGATTCTTATATGCACAGGTCTAATCTATGAGGACAAATAAACAGAACTAATGGAGAGATCTATGAGAAACAGAGGGAGTATCTCAAAAGAGGGCTCATGTGATCCACTGTGGCAGCACAACGTAGACTTCAATCACTTGGAGGTTCAAATATTCTCAAATACTCCCTCCGTTCTAAAACTTTCTTCCCGGTTCGCAAAACGAAGAAAAATCCCAAGTTTTTTCAATCTATTTTATTTAAATATTGGTATAGAAATAAAAAATAAAACATACATATTTAAAAACTACATCAAAAGTTCAACAAAATAAGTGGTGACAAGAATATTTTATTTTATCATATAGGCCATGAAAAAACACAAATAAATATAATTTCCCGTGAAGTTTGAATAGTGCTCTGGGAAGAAAGTTTTAGTACGGAGGGAGTATTATTTATTCTATTTTGACATTTTTTATTTGTGATATTAAAATCATGTGAAAAATATATTTTCTTTATTTTAAAAAACAAATTTCATTGAAAAAAAATTTGGAATCAAGAAAAGTATTGTATGACGCCGTGTATGGCACGGGTCAAAATACTAATTTGTAATTTCAAAATACTAGTTGTATACTCTGTATAATTTAAGTTTAACTACTCCATCCGTTCCAAATTATTTGTCACGTTTGTTTTTTCAATAGTCACGAGAACTTTTTTTTATTTCTACGTTTTCATTGGTTATTTGATAAAATAAAATATTAATAACACTTCTAATTTCGAATAACTTTTTATGTAGTTTTTTGATATGTAATTTTTATTTTTTATTTCTTTACCAATATGTAAATAAAATGAATTGAAAAAACTTGATATTTTGTATCAGTAATAGAAATGTGACAAATATTTTGGAACGGAGGAAGTATATGTCGATATGCTCTTATTACGATTTAACAATTTGGATTACCAGCTCCAAAGTAGTAAAGTAGTCTACAAATGAAAGGTAGAGTCGGAAGGCGACAATTGGTTCCGCTGTAGCAATGGCTTAATGGATCAAATTCCTACGGGAAAGATATCATATTCCGGGTTCGAACCCCGGCAGCGGAGTTTTATTTTTTTGCCGATAAATACCAGCAGTATATGCTGTCATAGATACCCCGTAGTAGTATCTTGCTATCCTCCTGAAGCCAAGCTTTTCTCCCTCAGGATATCTGTCTTCTCCGCACCCACAAATTCTGAAATGTGCACTTTGAATCTGGGGCTTGCCGCCGCCTTGGATGGTTACAGACCGGCGTTCCAGAAACAGAAGAGTTTATGCTTTAGGGCCGAGAAATGTGGCGATATCTTGTTTGGGGGCTTGAATTTAGGGTTCAGAAGTCCCGGACACAGAAAAAGATTTGTTTTTTCTCAGTTGAAATCGGTGGCTGTTGCAGATAAAACAGCCCAGAGTGCTGAAGTGTACGACGCAATCGTGATTGGGTCTGGTATTGGTGGGTTAGTTGCTGGGACTCAGTTGGCCGTGAAAGGAGCCAAGGTCTTGGTTCTGGAGAAGTATGTGATTCCCGGCGGGAGCTCCGGGTTTTACCAGAGAGATGGTTTCACTTTTGACGTTGGGTCTTCTGTCATGTTTGGACTCAGTGACAAGGTTTGTTTTGCTTTTGAAATCATTAAATTTTTCTTCTTCTTATTTTAGATGGAAGCATAAGCACGAAACCATTGAATGAACCCTACATTGAGGTTATGCTTGAAACTCAGGAAATGGTAGGTGGAAATATTACTCAGTATTGGTTTTACATTTCAGGAAAGAGTAATCAAATTTCTCTATTTGTTATATACACACACACACACACATACACACACACACATACATACATACATACACACACACACACACATACATNCCCCCACTAGGGGAAGAGGGGAAATGAAATGCAGAATGCAATCTCATTTGTTTGGGCAACAAAAACTTACCAGAGGTCTCCCATCTCTTGAACCGCACTAACCACGAATCCGAACAAAGCTGCGTAGGTATGACTTGATCAACCCAAACACGGAAATGTGTTCCTTTTTTGTCCCCATAACACGCCTTTAATGAGCTAACACAGTCCTCGAGAGTTTTCTCAACGCCTGATGGGTGGATAAAAATTCCAGATGGACACTGTAATACTTAAGACTCAGAATATAATCTTGACACCAAAAAATAGGAATACTGGAAATAGGTAAAAGGTAACTTGGAAACATACACAAAAATCTTTAATCTGTGCAAAAGTGGCCTCTGAGTTGTCAATTTCTCCACGCCTCCATTTTTCAAAAAACAAATACAATTCCACAACTTTATGAGCTGGGTCAGTTCCCTCGGAATATAACAGGCCCGTGACATCTCTTGGAGACTTGTTTGGGCCCAGGTTGAAATGGCCAATGGCTTCTATGATGCCTGCTGCACACCTCCCTGTTGCATGAATTATTTTTGGATTATCTTTGGCATTTGCAGCATGCCATTGCAACAATTCCTCTTGGGCATTGGCAACCTGCCAATGTAAAAACATGAACTTTGAGGGTCACTTTGGAACTCAGATAAAGTTAGGGAAATAAAATGAAGAAAAAAAATAGAGGAAATTTGGAAGAAAAGAAAAATATAAAGGAAAAAAGAGTAATAAAGATAATATAGAGGAACTTCCCCTACCATTTTTTTCAGAATTCCAAACCTAGGCAAAAACCAAATTCCCCTAAAAAGGGAATTCCTTATGGTGCATGATATGATTAAGAACAAAACAAGACTGTACTATGAAGGAGAGACATTCCTACCATCACACCATACACGTCTGGAATACTAAAAAGTTCAGCATCATTTCCAGAATCACCACAGGCAAGAGTGTTTTTGGGCAGTTTATCCTCGCTTTTCAATTTCTTGAGCAAATATGCCATAGCCTGACCTTTCCCAGCACCTTGTGGCAAAATATCCAAGTCCATCCCTCCACTATAAATTATCTTGACATCCAACTGATGATCATAAAACAGAGAAAAATCTAAGAGCAGTTTAAAGTGTAGATTCTAATTCCCGCATAATGGCATATAGAGATTTTACATTTCATACAGCAAGAAAGAAAAAGAACCACACTAAAGGTCTGTTTAGAAGTTGGGAAATGCTAGGGAAAAAATAGAATGAAATTGGAAAGGAAACTCGCAAGGAAAGAAGAAAGCATGAGGGACTAATTATAAAATTGGTTCGAACTCATTGTATCAATTTTAGGTATATGTACTCATATATGTAAGATTTTAAAAACTTCTAGTCTCATTTGATTTTTCTCCATATTTTCCAAGTAGAAATGTCGACCCCATGCATCATAAAACCATTTTGTTTTAATTTTTTCCTTTCCCTACTACTTTATTAGTTCTAAGCATCTCCTGATTGTATAAATTTTGATAAAGCCAGAGCTGTTTTATGCAAAGAGGCACCAAAGCAAAAAGGAAAAATTAAAAAATCATACCCCACGCTCAGCTAAACGGGTGGACAGAGCTTTTGTGATATCTCGAGCCTTATCCTTCTGAACATAAAAGCTAACCTTGTGTGGACGTTGTTCTGTTTCTGACTGGAATGAAATAAATATATAAAACACCAAAGAACCCATTTTCCAGCTCATGCTATTAACTAGAGAAATGAATGGATCAGAGGTAACTATATTACTGTACTTGGAGTTTCAATTCAGAAAACATGCTTGTCTCCTCAGCTACTATGCTTCGGTCCCATTTGTGATTCAAATATTCTTCCCATCCATTGTCTGGCACCATTGAGTTGCCATATGTTATTTCAGTGCCCACGGACAAAATGGTGATATCTGGGGTTAGCATCGGCTTTTCTTTCCTCAATTCTTTATAAAGAGTGGGTGACCTCCCAGTTGAAAACACAAGCAATGAGTTATTGCGATAATTAGCTTCCCATAGAGCATTAAACCTCAGCAGAGAAAGGTTCTCAGCATCATGATGATCAACCTGCAAAGCATAACCATATTCGTGTAACGTAACGTACGCACATTGCTTAGAAAATAAATAGGACAAATGAACAGCCGCCAACCATTGTATGATCAAGATCTGAGACAATCATGAGATGAGCAGCACCAGTTAGGCGATCCATCTTCACCATAATGTTATTTCCTCTCTGCCAGTAACGGTTTTTAAAAAAACAAACACAAAAAAAAACAACAAACAGAACTTCATAAGATATCATATATGTATGTCAATGATTTGATCAATTGGCTTATCAGAAACCCTTCAAGATAAAGACCAAAACCTATTTTGATAGATTTTTTTTAAAGAAGTGCTAAACAATCAATTATGCTCTATGAATCAATACAGGGTTCAGAAAACAAAAAAAAAACACAAGAGTAAGCAGAAAATCAGTCTCTTGGGAGAAGTGAAGCAAATATGTATCAGTTCGTGAAACCCCTAAATCATTACTTCTATCAGAAATTTACAGATACATGCAAGAAGCAGATCCGATTGATCGAGTTCATGCACGCCAGACCACGACGCTCGATCTGAAATCAGATACAGTCTTGAAGAAGCGGATTGAACAACGAATCTTACAATAATACAGATCAGTTGCACTGAGAGAAAGAGCGAGTGAATTACCAATTTTACCTGAGTGGAGAGGGAACTGGAGTGATGATTATGATTCGTGGGAGCACAGCAGCGAAGGAGAAAGGATGGGTGACGATTACCCAAGCTTAGAAATGGCGGTGGCATGTAGAAATGGGGAGAATTTTTTGTGTGGGAATTTTTTGGTTCCCAATTGTGAATTTTGAGATATTTTGACTTTTTAACATTAAATATAGGAAATTATTTTTTCATTGGACTATCCGTTTCATACAATTTATTTTTTAGCTTATTATTTATTTTTATTAAAATTAGATCAAATTATACAAGATCAACCTAGATCAAATTCAACAAAATCGGATGAGATCTTCAAAAAAATCAAACCATGTCTAATTAGAGGGAGTATCTCAAAAGATGGCTCATGTGATCCATTGTGGGAGCGCGACGTAGACTCCAATCACTTGGAAGTTGGAACACCACCCCCCTTTATGTGATACTTGTTCGTGGTGATGGCGTGAAACAACTCGTGGTCATGGCCACGTGAGGGAGATGCGAAGTGGATCGAATAAATTTTTGGTTTGATTATTTTTATATTAAAATTATTTCATTTAATTGCAGAGTATTATTCTAAAACATCTATTTTGTTTGACTTTATGTAGGTACATCATTACTTATAAAAAACATGCCTTTAAAATATCTTTTTACAAGATACATCCAAAAATACCAATGTTCCATATATAATACGGAGTGCATAGTACATAGTATACAAATGTTTCATTTTTCTTTTTCCTTTTGAAAAATGTCTCATATAAAGCAACATTATATAAAAATATAAAGAAAACAATAAAATAGTTTGGACAAAAAAAAGAATTAAAAAATAAGCAGTCTTTCAAAAAATTTGGCATTAAAATAAACATTGTTGAGTCTACGTTCAATTTTTTAAATATTATTTATTCTACTTTGTCATTTTTTATCTGTAGTATTAAAAATCATGTGAGATTTTATTCTAAAAAAATAAATTTCATTGAATTTTTTTTAGAATAGATAAAAGTCTGGTACGATACTGTATATAGCACATGCCAGAATACTAATTTGTAATTTCAGAATACTAGTTGTATATACTTGTATAATTTAAGTTTAACTATATGTCATAGACATAAAGAATTAGAGATGCTCTTATTACTATTTAACAATTTGGATTACCAGCTCCAAAGTAATAGAATAGTGTACAAATAAAAGATAGAGTGGGAAGTAGTCATATTCCGGGTTCGAACCACGAACAAGTATCATATTCCGGGTTCGAACCACGAACAAGTATCACTTGGAAGTTGGAACACCACCCCCCTTTTCTCCCTCCGGATATCTATCTTCTCCGCACCCACAAATTCCGAAATGTGCACTTTGAATCTGGGGCTTGCCGCCGCCGCCTTGGATGGTTACAAACCGGCGTTCCAGAAGCAGAAGAGTTTGTGCTTTGGGACTGAGAAATGTGCCGATATCTTGTTTGGGGGATTGAAATTAGGGTTCAGAAGTCCCGAGCACAGAAAAAGATGTGTTTTTTCTCAGTTTAAATCGGTGGCTGTTGCAGATAGAACGGCAGAAAGTGCTGAAATGTACGATGCAATCGTGATAGGGTCGGGTATTGGCGGGTTAGTCGCCGGGACTCAGTTGGCCGTGAAAGGAGCCAAGGTCTTGGTTCTGGAGAAGTATGTGATTCCCGGCGGGAGCTCCGGGTTTTACCAGAGAGATGGTTTCACTTTTGACGTTGGGTCTTCTGTCATGTTTGGACTCAGTGACAAGGTTTGCTTTGCCTTTAAATACTTGCAATTTTCTTCTTCTTCCTATTTTAGATGGAAACACAAGCATGAAGCCATTGAATGAACCCTACATTGAGGTTATGCTTGAAACTCAGGAAATGGTAGGGGGAGATATTACTCAGTATTGGTTTTACATTTCAGGAAAAAGTAATCAAATTTCTGTATTTGTTGTGTGTGTCTATATGTATGGACAGATATGTATTGGGGTTGGTTCAAGTGAGAATGGTCCTTACTGCGAGAATAGACTTTATCGTGAGAATGTTTATGTTGTCATGATGCAATTTTACATTGTGATAGTGCATTTTCAGCATTGGGAGTAAAGTTCAACTTATTTACCATAACACCACTCATTTTTTTAATTTTTTTTTCAAGTCCTTAGATCTTACATCTAATGCACGATATTCATTCTTATTTCTTTCATTAGATTGCATTCTCACTTAATCTAACACACACACACACATATACATACATGTGTTTGGATTTCTCTGTCCATATATCATGGAAATGCTTGAATAGAACTATTTTGAAGAAATTTGAAAATTAATATGTATTGATTTGAATGCAAGTAAAGGTAATGTATATGAACACACACCCTTCCCAATTCGCATACAACATTTTTTTGGGATTTTACTGGGTTCGATGTTGTTGATGATGATTTGAATGCAATTTTTTTTCTCACACTTAATCTCCATCCAAAATACCCTCTCTATTTTACTCCCTATTTTTTCTTTAGCATTTTCCGAGTTCCAAACAGACCCCAAGCAATTGCCTAATGTTTGGAGAGATTCTAGATCACATGGTAAAGTTAAGTTAGCTGGGAGATGCAGAGATGCTATATTGCTTAGAGGGATCTTGTATTCTTTAATCTCTGATTATGTTGTCATTTATTGTTGATTAATACAGATGTGTTTCGTATCTCTCCATAGGGAAATCTGAATTTGATTACTCAAGCATTGGGAGCCGTGGGACGTAAGCTACAGGTGATACCTGACCCAACAACCATGCATTATCGCCTACCGAATGACCTTTCTATTCGAGTATGTAGAGAATATGACGACTTCATTGCAGAGCTCGTGAACAAATTTCCACATGAAAAGGAAGGAATTCTCAAGTTTTATAGTGAATGTTGGAAGGTTTTTTCTTAATCAAGTTGATGTCAGCTGCTACCTCTTTTGGTTTTAATACTCATATTTCTTTAGTTTTTAACTTTTTTGTCATTTCTTTGTTTATTCGATGTGTTGGGCAGATCTTCAATGCTTTGAATTCCATGGAATTAAAATCAGCGGAGGAACCCCTTCTGCTCTTCAGACAATTTTTTAAGAAGCCCCTCGAATGCTTGACACTTGGTAATTCTCTCTTTCACTTCAATAACGTTACAGATACAACAATAACAAACAAACCCAGACTCCCAGTAGAGAAGCGGGGTCTAAGGTTTGGGGAGGGTGTGTCGACGCATACCTTTTCCTTACTTGGAAGTTGAGAGGCTGTTTCCAAGTGTTACAGAATAAAGTAGCACTTTTAGCTTTTTAAGTATCACCCTTGTCCTCCATCATTCTCACAAAGATATGCTTGTATGGAACAAGTATTCTCACTTTTTTTAAAGTTAATTTACGAATAACTTCCATCACGGACTTTTTGAAAGGAAAATTTAAATATGGTAATCTTGGAAATGGAGAATCAACTGCACACCTAGTATAGGAACTGACCTATACCTGTGGGACAAACCCCAATTGAATACAAATCCACTTTCCTCTTCCTTGTATTTCATATTTAGGAAAATTTATAAGTATCTTAAATCAAAATGTTATTTCATTTTTTCTGTTTTCTCCTTACAGCTTTTTATTTGCCCCAGAATGCTGGCGACATTGCTCGGAAGTTCATAAAAGATGCCCAGTTGCTCTCCTTTATAGATGCGGAGGTTAGCTGCTATGCTTGCTAACTGCTCCTCCCTCTTCACAATAAGTGCCATTTTGTAGAAAAAAATCATTTCACATGTGTCTTTTTTTTATAAAACCAAGACATTCTTTTATGCTATTTTGTCATTTTTGCCCGTCTTTGTGACCCCTTTGCAAAAGTAACCATCAATCATATTTAAATGTTAGTAAGAGGGTAGTAATGTGACTAATGTCATGTTTCTATCCATTTGAGAACTTCTAAATATGTTTGATTTCATCCAAAACGACACTTGTTATGGAAAAGAGTGAGTATTTGTTTGAGCTTTCAATTTCATACTTTGCCCACTAACAATTTCTTGATTTTCTTAAAATTGTTTTTCAGTGCTTCATTATCAGCACCGTGAATGCTTTAAAAACACCAATGATCAATGCAAGCATGGTACTTTCCTGTTAACTTCCCACCTTCCCAGTCGATCCATGTAGTTCCCATCTAGTTACAAGGGTATTCTTCCATAGGTCCTATGCGACAGGCATTTTGGTGGAGTCAACTATCCTGCTGGTGGAGTAGGAGAAATTGCCAAGTCATTGGCAGAGGGTTTGCAAAGCCAGGGTAGTCAAATACTATACAAGGCAAATGTAACCAATATTATTGTTGACAACGACAAAGCTGTAAGATTGATTACTACACTTGTTGCTCCTTCTAAGGGTCTGTTTGGATGGACGGTTTGGATAGCTTTGGAGAAGAAGAGTTTTGATGGTTGGTGTATATCATGATAGATAGAATGTTTCTAAACTTGAATAAAAGGTGATAAAAAAGCTATATTCCTGTCCTTCAATATTGTTTGCACTTTGACTTCATAGAGTTTAACTGTTGAAAAGTGAAGTATGAGATTGGAGTTTTTTAAGAAGAGAGAAATGTTACAAGCCACACTCTTTTTAAAAAGGAAATGAGTGAAGTGTAAAGTTAATTTTAGGATGGACGAAAAAGGAAAGTGCTAATTATATTTTGGGATTGACAAAAATAGAAAGTGTGGACTTTATTGAGGGATGGAGACAGTATGATCACCTACTATGTTGTTCCTTTAAATTGTATAAAATCTCAAATATATACTTTGTAGCGAAATATAGACTTATCCCTCAAAACCCTTTGCCTGTAAATTCTCCAAAGCACTCTACTGTCTCCATCCATCGGTTTGAGAGTCAATTTCATGTTATGAGATGCAATGCAAATGTGTTTTTTTGTTCTTGTTTGCCTTGTAGGTGGGAGTGAAACTGTCGGATGGGAGGAATTTTTATGCTAAAACCATAATATCCAATGCTACCAGATGGGATACCTTTGGTTAGTTCTTGAATTTTTATGAATTATATTATGTCAAATAGGGGTGACTGGATGAGAACCGAAGGATTCTTTTACATGCTTGGTATAATATATGGAAGTAAATCTTTGCAAAACAAAAAAACCATGGGAATGAATGTGCACCGATGGGGGGATATGGGCCTTGACCATCGTGGATCCGGGCCAGCTCCACGCTAAGATGCATGCGCAGCCTGCATGTTAAAGGAGGATGGGCTATGCATTGGGCCAAAGCAGGTGGGCGGACGAGCTCATGATGGATGACCAATTCCTCGGGGATGATGATGCGCCGTTTGCTCCATCGCCAAGATCGTGGAGGAAGACCAGGAATGACGATTACTTGCCATGTACACCCATCCTTGTGTTCTATAATTCTATAAATAGAGGGGGAGTTCCTTGTAAGAGGCACGATCATCTAGCAATAATATACATACTCTCTATTGTTCATCATCTTCTCGAGCTCTGTCTCAATACTTATTCACTCATAATCGATTGTTAAATTCGATGAGACGGGTCGGGTTGTCTGGTGGGATTAAATTCCATCACCCATAGATTTAAGAAAGTAAATCACAATCAAATCTCCTAAATTCTAGGCAAGCAAATCGATTGTTTTCCATGGCTGAACAGAAAAACTGCAAAACTGAAATTGGCCAAATGACCGATTAAATTGAAGCAAGCAAAACTGAAACTGATCGTAACCGATCCAACCATACGGTGTCCAGCTACTGGTTTAAGGTTTAGGCTTTGAAAACTGACCGAGCCAACCAAAACAAATCAAAACGGACCAAAATCTGTCTAACCCTACAAAAACACTAAACAGACCAAAACTGCAAAGGACTTAAGTTAGTTGGTATAATGCTGTTTATTGCATTTTTGAAACCAGAATCCGACCTAATTTGGATCACTTTTAGACTTTAGTCCTAATTAGTTTTAATATAGACATATGACATATAACTTCTGTGAAAATAGGTTGACTTGTATGCATACTTTTTAATTGTAGGGAAGCTTTTAAAGGAAGAGAATCTGCCAAAGGAAGAAGAAAATTTCCAGAAGAGATATGTTAAGGCACCTTCTTTTCTTTCTATCCATGTGGGTGTTAAAGCCGATGTTCTACCAGCCAACACAGATTGCCACCATTTTATACTTGAGGTAGTGAGGTACCAGTGCAATTCAGCAGAACATTTCATTCTGTCTATTTGTTTATTTCATTTTCTATGGTCTTTGGATTCTACAGGATGAATGGGAAAATTTAGAAAAGCCTTATGGAAGTATATTTTTGAGCATTCCAACCGTGCTTGATCCATCATTGGCACCAGAAGGGTGTCATATTCTTCATATATTTACAGTTTCAAGCATAGAGGACTGGGAGGTAGTATTTATTTAATATATCATTGAATCCAAACCCTGTTATCTAAAAAAAGTATCTTTATTCATCTGTTGAGTTCCAACAATATGTTGCTTATTCATTAGGGGCTCTCTCAGAATAGTTACAATGCAAAGAAGGAGCTTGTGGCCGACAGAATCATAAACAGGCTTGAAAAGACACTATTTCAAGGCCTCAAATCTTCCATTGTTTTTAAGGAGGTATGATTCATTTTCCTAGTTGCTGTGATGTTTTTGAGGAGAGAAACTCGAGTGAACTAAGAACCTATGTCCTGTGTTTTCTTCATACTTTTTGATGGCATGACCTTCTTAAAAGGGGAAAAAATCTGAACTTATTTGTTTCATGTTCCAGTTTTAGTTAAAACAGAAGAATTAGTAGTAGTAAATTTGTCTTTTATGATTTGGTTCCGTTTGACATTAGCTTCAACATCTGGCTTTCAAAACACTAGGGTAACACCATCGTTGACGCTAGGGGTGACAGTCGTCTGTATATTGGTATACACACAGGACATAATCGTATGGCCACATACGAATATGTCAAAATTATAGACGATTGTCATCCGTGGCGACAACGGTGACGTTACCCTAGCATAGCCCTTTGGTTTTAAAAATTTTATTCAGTGGTAGACTTAAGCTTCAACGTTTTCTAAGCTAGAATGTGCCATTAAAAACTAATCCAAAAGACCAAAACGCTAACAAAAACCATAAGCACTCTTCCCTAACAAAGCCTTTATGTTATCACAGGTAGGAACACCAAAGACACATAGACGTTACCTTGCTCGTGATAGTGGAACATATGGACCAATGCCGCGCAAGGCTCCAAAGGGTTTGTTGGGGATGCCATTTAACACAACAGTATGTCTGTCGTTGGTTACTGTTATGTGCACTTTTGTATAATGGAAACTATATTTTGCTCTAATTTTTTCCTCACTGTATGAACTTGTTTATCGATTTTGTTTGACACTCCAGGCTGTAAATGGACTGTATTGCGTTGGGGATAGTTGTTTTCCAGGTCAAGGTGTCATAGCCGTGGCCTTTTCTGGAGTAATGTGTGCTCATCGTGTTGCTGCCGATCTAGGTAATTAAACATACAATTTTCACTGCTCAACTTAGAACCAACGTGTTTACTTGATATTTTTGCATTTATTATTGGACCTCCTACGACTTGAAAAATAATTTTATTTGCCTTTAAGCCTGCTTGCCCAGCACTGTAGTAACTACTTTAATTTGATGGAAAATCCTTCTCTTTACTGGCATAGGATTTGAGAGGAAATCCCCTGTGCTGGACAGTGCTTTTCTTGGGCTACTTGGTTGGCTACGAACATTGGCATGATAACATTGTACATTTGTTCCGGTATGAATTAAACATACAATGATATATTCACTTGCAAGTGGCAATGTTTGAGCTCCCGGTAAATCAACACGACACATTAACTGTCCATTGCTTCTCACTTTTTATGAGGTTTTGGGGAACAAGTATAGCAATGCATTGATGGTCTAATTACTCTTATAGAGCGGCAAGTGTTTGTTTTGAGTAAGTTTCTATACATCTTGACCCCAAAACTCCAATGAAATAGGGATTATGTTGGGTTTGCTGATATTCTAAATATGCCTATTATGTATCTATAAAGGATTTGGTTCAAGTTATGCATACCAAATACCAATAAAACTACTCTTATGCAACGCTAATGATCATGTCAATACAACAACTCTAGTAGATTCCCACGAAAATATGGTCCGGAGAGGACGTCTACGTAGACCTTACCCTTACTTAGAAAGCTGAGAGGCAAATGTCAACATGACAACATGTCATCAAACCAATATTGCATATTTATTTTTCTTAGCCCTTTGTTACGGACGAATCTAGACGTATAATATCTTTGATTAGATAAATATTGTAGTTATGTTAGTTATTGGATATGGTCCGATTTTCTTATGCAGTTTGTTTCTATATACAATTCTTGTCTTGCAGAATCTTATATATATCACTCGTCTTTGTACAGATAATTCATTTTAAGTGCTCCGTATAAACAGAATATTTTCACCAAATATTCTTTCAATTCTATCACGTTATCTGGGTAAGTTTTGGCTCACCTTATTTGTCAAGATGTCTGTCTGAGTGTTCATTCCTAGCAACCTGAGATTCTTCAGCGCAATTGTATGTATGATTGTATGAATTGCATACCCAAATGCATGTGGACCATTGAACTCAATTGTCCGACTGAAAGTCTATACCCATCGACTTGTCGTCCTTCAATTTGAGGGGATGTGTTTAGAGTCCAACATTGGAATGTTGAAGAGAAAATGATAGACTTATAAGTTCTTGAGTTGAAGTAGTTAATTAATCAGATTCAATTTTTTATGTAGTTAAACTCAAATGTCTTATTCCCCAATCTAATAATATCCATCCTATCTTAAATTCTAGTCCAATGCTAGGAAGTGTACTCCAAGTGCACACTACACTTTCTTCACCACACAATTTTGGGTGTGGATAAGAAGATTAGAGAATAGATTAGGAAGGTGCGGTGAAGAGAGTGATGGTGTACAAATGAGGTACGCTTTGTAGTTTGTACTCTTAGCATTACTTGATAAAAATTGATTGATCTGTTTTCGATCCGAAACTCAATTCAAAAATATTGAGTCTTGAACAAAAGTTTTGTAGACCAAACTTAAAGGTCAGTGATCCCAAAACATGTCAAAATGGGTCAAACCTGATTGAACTTGATTTGATTAACTTGTTTTGTAAAAGTTTTTTTTTAAATCATGTACTTTAATATGAAAAATAATGTGACATAATAATGTTATATATTTTTTCTTATTACTCATTTTGAGAGAATAAATTTATATTTTCAAACAAATTTTATGATATCACATAGTTATCTTATACTACAAGTAATATTTTAAAATTGGTATGTATTTAATTTTTTAATAGTATTTATAATATTGTTTAATATATATTTAAAAAGTAATTAAAAATTTAAAACATAGCATTAAAATAGATTTAACGTAATGTGTACTACCTTTGTCCTTGTATATTTGTTTGTTTTTGACGACATTTGATCTTGAATTAAATAGAAATTATATGGTATATCACCGTGCTCTAAGTTGTTTAAACATTTAAACATTATCCATGTTGACATATGGCACGCCCACTGAATTATTTTTATTCTATCTTTGAAAAAAAGTTTTATTTTGTAATTTTATTGTTATTGAATTTATATTTATAATAAATTGTTGTAATTTTCTTGTTTGATTTGATTCTTAAAATTATTTACAGAGTAATTTATTATTTTTGTAATTTATGTATTCATCACTTATTTTATGATAAAAAAAAACTAATTTTATTTCATGATATAATTCAGAGGATGAAATATTTAATATAATAAATAAAGTAGGAGTGGGATCCTTGAATAAATAAATGAATGGATGAATAAAACGGATTGTTAGTCATACTCCGTATTTGCTTAAAAAATACTCCTTCCGTTCTCAAAAACACTTCCTCTTTCATTTTTTCCACTTTCAACAAAACACTTTCCTTTTCTATTAAAAAACAACTTTTACACTTATTTTTTCATACCCTACCTATCACATCATACTTTTTCTCTAATAATCTATCCATCACATCTTACATTTACCCATCACATCAGGAGCAAAATTGGAAATCAGCTATAATTTAAGACTTCCTTATTTTTACCCCAAATCAAAATGGGAAGGGTTTTTCCAAGCGGAGAGAGTAACATATTTTAAGATGAATAATGTGGAGATGATATAAATGAAATAAAATGATTGGATTAATGAATTATAATTGAGGTGCCCCACTAGGCAAATTCTTACATAGATTTAAGATCCATGCTCATTTCATGGACCTTAGTATATTTGTATTATTAAAAAAATGTGTCTTTTACAAAAAAGAAAATATCTACATGCAATTTTATGAAAAATGTAAGAACCGTGGAATCATGTAATCATCACTCGGTAACATGATTGAAAAAATGCGGGAGATTTACCCAAATCCCAAGTGGAATAATATTTTATGAGAAAAAAAAAAGAAACTCAAGTATGCTCCTCTTCCTACGGATGAAAACCACCCAGCGGTCAACTGTAATTTCCAATGTTTAACCGCCACAAATTAACAATGGCAAACCATGTTTATTGACATGATGATTACCCCAAATACCACACAAATCCAATGGAAAATCCAATTATTATACTCCTAATTAATTACTAATATGGGCATGGCAACTTGATAACACTAACGGTCCATAAATATAATTCAATATCACCAAGCTAAATGAAAAAGAAATTTGAGCGAGGTAGTCTCTCAATGCCCAAAAAACCAATCTATATATTAACTTTTTAATAATAAATTGTTTTGTTATAAAATTTATATTATTCATCTAAAAGATACCGTTATGTCATGCTTGTATATATAAAATGAGACTGTTCAGTATAATTGTTATTTTTAAACAATAAAGAAAAACATATTTTCTGCATAACCGAATTTTAGTGAGCATTCGGTTATCCAAAAATGAATATTCAGTTGCTCAAAAATAAGTATTTAGTTACTCGTAAATGAGTACTCACCACATTTATATTGTGACTCTAATTCAAACATGTGATTTTCCATTTGAGAAAAAGTTACAGGAATGACGTTGGACTTTAAAATCACGGGCAATCGAAATCTTAAACACGGAATAATAAAAGTGAAACTTCATTAAGTATATAGGGCAAGGCATTGTTTAATTAGGAACGCTGTTAATTAGCATTTTCATTTTAAATAAATTTTTAACAATACAAATTAATTTTGAAAAACTAACATTAGATACGTCTTTCAATAGACGTAAATACACTTGTTCTCTTCGTTTGGTTTATTAGTCCTCATCTAAATTTATTAAAGTCTGATCTAATCTGAATCTTTTTTATCTGATCTGAACACTTTTTAATTTGATGTGATTCTCTTTAAATTTGAAGTTTTTTATATGACATTAATATTTTTGATTTTATCTAATCTGAACCTTTATGATTTGATCTAATTTTTTTTATATAATTTGATTCTAATAAAAATATTCTTTACTACGTGCTACAAAGAGAGGAGTACATAACAAAGACTTCTGCATTAGCAACTCAATCGGTCTCAGAGGTAAAATTTGAAACCGGCCACAGTGTAAGAGCAATTTACCTCTTTTCACAATCCCATCGGGCGGTCGGGCACTTTGAAACATCAAAGATTCAAAGACAAAAACATACTCTCTCCGTCCCTAAATATTTGCCACACTTGTATTCTCGAGGCAAAATATTAAGTTTTTTCAATTCATTTTATTTACATATTGGTATAGAAATAAAGAATAAAATTTACATATCAAAAAAACTACATGAAAAGTTCTTCGAAATAAGAGGTGTCAAGAATATTTTATTTTATCAAATAAGCAATGAAAATGTAGAAATAAACAAAAGTTTCTGCGACTACTGAAAAAGCAAATGTTGTAAATATTTTGGGAAGAAGGGAGTAAGTTCCACATGAAAGGTGAGGCCCAAGGGAGTGAATAGTCAAATCAATGTCTTTAATTCCCCAAACCTGAAGAATCTTTCTCTGTTTCCCTCCCATTTCCTTTCACTATTTCTACCATTCCACCCTTGCCAAACTTGCCCAAATATGCCACCATATCCATACCAGAAGCTGAGCCACTCACCCCTCCGTCTCGTCACCTTAACTCTTCCCTTTCCGAAAACTCAGAATTTCTTCTCAGCACCCACAATTCCGAGATGTGCACTTTGAATATGGGGCTTGCAGTCGCAGCAGCAGCAGCTTTGGATGGTTACAAACCCGTGTTCCAGAAACAGAAGAGTTTGTGCTTTAGGAATGAGAATTGTGGCGATATCTTGTTTGGGGGCTTGAATTTAGGGTTTCGAAGTGCGGAACACAGAAAAAGATGTGTTTTTTCGCAGTTGAAATCGGTGGCTGGTGCCGATAAAACAGCCCAAAGTGCTGAAATGTACGATGCAATCGTGATAGGGTCTGGTATTGGCGGGTTAGTCGCTGGGACTCAGTTGGCCGTGAAAGGAGCCAAGGTCTTGGTTCTGGAGAAGTATGTGATTCCCGGCGGGAGCTCCGGGTTTTACCAGAGAGATGGTTTCACTTTCGACGTTGGGTCTTCTGTCATGTTTGGATTCAGCGACAAGGTTAGTTTTGCCTCTGAAATCATGAAATTTCCTTTCTTCTTCTTCTTCTTCTTCCTATTTTTGGTGGAAACATAAGCATGGGGCCATGTGATGAAACCTACATTGAGGGTATGTTTGGAACTCCGGAAATGGCAGGGGAAAAATATTATTCCGTATTCAGTAATGGGAGATGATCTATTGATTAGAGTGATTTATGTATTCTTTAATCTCTGATTATGTTGTCATTTATTGTTGATTAATACAGACGTGTTTCTTATCTCTCCATAGGGAAATCTGAATTTGATTACTCAAGCATTGGGAGCTGTTGGACGTAAGCTACAGGTGATACCTGACCCGACAACCGTGCATTTTCACCTACCGAACAACCTTTCTGTTCGAGTATGTAGAGAATACGACGACTTCATCGCACAACTCGTGAACGAATTTCCACATGAAAAGGAAGGAATCCTCAAGTTTTATAGTGAATGTTGGAAGGTTTCTTCTTACTCAATTTGATGTCAGCTCCTACCTCTTTTGGTTTTAATAAATTTCTTCACTGCTAACTTTGCCTTTGCAAACATTTGTTGTGTTTAATCGATGTGCTGGGCAGATCTTCAATGCCTTGAATTCAATGGAATTAAAATCAATTGAGGAACCCCTCTACCTCTTCGGACAATTTTTTAAGAAGCCCATCGAGTGCTTGACACTTGGTAATTTTTTTTATTCTCTTCGGTAAATGTTACATACACGTAATATGTATTATTACTTGTCATGATATCCCGTGTTTAATTGTTTACAGCAGCATTTTCTATGATCACCCATTCACCCTTGCACTTCAAACATTCTACTTCATCAGTCTCACAAAATATGCTTGTATGGAATAATTCTTCTAATTTTTTTTTGTAAAGTTATTCAACAAAAAAATCCCATCCTGGACTTCTGTAAATAAAATCTTAAGTAGGGTAAATTTAGAAATGGAAAATCAACTGCACACGTAATATGGGAACTGACCTATATTTGTGGCACAGACCCCAATTGAATACAAATTTCCCTTTCTTCCCATTTATTTCATATTTAGGCATATTTATAAGTATCCTAAATCAAAATGTTCTCTCATTGTTCCTGTTTTCTCTTTACAGCTTCCAATTTGCCCCAGAATGCTGGGGACGTTGCTCGGAAGTTCATAAAAGATGAACAGTTGCTCTCCTTCATAGATGCTGAGGTTAGCTATTTTGGAGGAAAATTTTGTTTCACATTAGAAAGCCAAGACAACATTTTTATTTAACCAAGCCCATACTTAGTGCACATTATAGAGCCAAGACAATATTTTTATAAAACCAAGCCAATACTTAGTGCTGCTTTGTCATTTTTGCCTGGCTTTGAGACCTTTTGCAAAATTAACCATCAATGATACTCCATATTAAAATTTTTGTAAGAGGGTAATATTGTCAGAATTTTTTTCATTTGAGAACTCATAATATTTTTTTATTTCATCCAAAATGACACTTGTTATGCAAAAGAGGGAGTTTTGTTTGAGCTTTCAATTTCATACTTAGCACATTAATGATTTCTTGAAAAATTAAAAAACTATCCTTGTTCTTCAGTGCTTCATTGTCAGCACCACGAGTGCTTTACGAACGCCGATGATCAATGCAAGCATGGTACTTTCCTATGAACTTAACTTCCCACCTTCTCAAATTGATCCATGTTGTCCCTATCTAGTTACTAGGGTATTTTTCCATAGGTCATATGTGAGAGACATTTTGGTGGAGTCAATTATCCTGCTGGTGGAGTAGGAGAAATTGCCAAATCCTTAGCAGAGGGTTTGGCTAGCCAGGGTAGTCAAATACTATACAAGGCAAACGTAACCAATATTATTGTTGACAACGGCAAAGCTGTAAGATTCATTACTACATTTTCTGCTTCTTCTAAGGGTCTGTTTGGATGGAGGGGGTTGGATTCTTATGAAGAAGAAGGTGTTTGAGTGCTTGTTCTATATTATGATAAGTAGAATGTTTCTAAAATTGAATAAAAGATGATCAAAATGTTATACTCCCTTTGCCCCCCAATAACATTTGCATTTTGACTTCATAGAGTTTAAGAAAAGTGTTGACAAGTAAAAAAATGTGCTTGGAATTTTTTAGAAGAGACAAATGTTATGAGCCACATTCATTTCCTAAAAAGGAAATGTGAGAAGTGTAAAGTTTACTTTGGGATGGACAAAAAAGTTAAGTGTAAACTTCATTGTGGGATGGAGGAAGTATGATAACGTACTTTGCTATTCCTTTAAATTTTATAAAATCTCAAATATATTCTTTATATCAAAATATAGACTCATCTCTCCAAAACTTTCGCCTTTAAAATTCTCCAAAGCAGTGAAAACACTCCATCCAATTGGTTTAAGAGTCAAATTCATGTTATTAGATGCAAAATTAAGATGTTTTTTTTGTCGTTTGCCTTGTAGGTAGGAGTTAAACTATCGGATGGGAGGAATTTTTATGCTAAAACCATAATATCGAATGCTACCAGATGGGATACCTTTGGTTAGCTCTTGAACCTTTATGGATTCTATACTGTCAAGTGTCAAAAAGGGTTGACTGGATGAGAAGTGAAGGATTCTTTTACATGGTATAAAATATGGAACAAAATCTAGACAAAACTGAAAATCCTTGGAAGTGAATGCCTACAGATTTGTTGAAGTAAATCACAATCACTTCTCCTCAATTCTAGGCAAGCTAAGCAATGGTTTTCCAGGTCTGAGCTGAAAAACTATGAAACTGAAACTGACCGACAAACTGAAACAACCAAAACTGGAACTGATCGTAACCAATCCAACCATATGGGGTTCGGGTACTGGTTTGAGGTTTACGCTTCGAAAACAAATGGAACCTACCAAAACAAATCAAAACTGACCTAACTGATCAAAACTTACAAAAACAGACCAAAACTGAAACCCACTTAAGTTATTCAATTTGGTGCTGTGTTTTGCAATTTTAAGAACTGAATCCGAACTAAACTCGATTACGTTTAGTCATAATTAGTGTTTCTATAGAAATATGACATACTCCCTCCGTCCCAAACTGAACTTTACATTTGACTTTTCACGGTCAGCAATGCGACACTTTGACTATTAATAAATTTATCTATACATAGATAAATGTTATAAAAATTTGATTAATAAAAACTACATCTTAAAATGAATCAATGATATTAAATTTACATCATAACTAAATATAACTTTTTCACAAATCATAGTCAAAGTTTGTAAAAATTGACCAAGAAAAGTCAAATGTAAAGATCATTTTGGGACGGAGGGAGTATAACTTTTGTGTTAATGCATTCACCTATATGCATCCTTGTTAATTGTAGGGAAGCTTTTGAAGGAAGAGAAACTGCCAAAGGAAGAAGAAAAATTTCAGAAGACATATGTTAAGGCACCTTCTTTTCTTTCTATCCATGTGGGGGTTAAGGCAGATGTTCTACCAGTCAATACAGATTGCCACCATTTTATCCTCGAGGTAGTGAGGTACCTGTGCAATTCATACGAAGTATTAGAATATTTAATTCTGTCTATTTGTTTGGTTCATTTTCTATGGTCTTTGAATTCTCCAGGATGAATGGAAAGATTTAGAAAAGCCTTATGGAAGTATATTTTTGAGTATTCCAACTGTGCTTGATCCATCATTGGCACCAGAGGGATGCCATATTCTTCATATATTTACAATTTCAAGCATAGATGACTGGGAGGTAGTATTTATTTAATATATCATTGAATCCAAACCCTGCAATATAAAAAAATTAACTTTCTTCTTCATCATTTGAGTGCCAACAATAAGTTATCTATTCATTAGGGGCTCTCTCAGGATGTATACAATGCAAAGAAGGAGAACGTGGCTGACATGATCATAAACAGACTTGAAAAGACACTATTTCCAGGCCTCAAATCATCTATTGTTTTTAAGGAAGTATGATTCATGTTCCTGTCTGTGATTCATGTTTTAAGGATATAAATCTCAGAGTAAATTGATCACCCAATATGTGTTGTGCTTTCTTCATACATTTTGATGGCATGATCTTCTTAAGAGAAGGAAAACATCTGAGCTTGTTAGTTTCATGTTTAGATTTTAGTTAATATAGAAGGACTATATATAAATTAGTTTCCCAACTTGGGTCGGACTAACAAAGTTTTTTTATGTTATCACAGGTAGGAACACCAAAGACACATAGACGATACCTTGCTCGTGATAGTGGAACCTATGGACCAATGCCACGCGGGACTCCAAGGGGGTTATTGGGAATGCCATTTAACACGACTGTAAGTTACTCTTTGGTTAGTGTATGTACAATTGTGCTCTTTTGTATAATGTAAAACTGAATTTGCTCTAATTTCCCCCCATTGTACACTGAATGAACTTGTTTATCTATTTTGTTTGAAATTTCAGGCTGTAAATGGACTATATTGTGTTGGGGATAGTTGTTTTCCAGGTCAAGGTGTCCTAGCCGTAACCTTTTCTGGAGTAATGTGTGCTCATCGGGTCGCTGCTGATTTAGGTAAACACACAATATTCAATGCTTAACTTAGAACCAATGTGTTTAGTTGATATGTGCACACTTATTATGGACCACCTACAACTTAAATAGCTTTATTTGTCTTTGAGCCTGTTTGCCCAGCATTGTTGTAACAACTTTAGTTTGACGGAAGGTCATTTTCTTTACTGGCATAGGAATTGAGAGGAAATCCCCCGTGCTGGACAGTGTTCTTCTTCGGCTGCTGGGTTGGCTACGAACATTGGCATGATAATATTGTATATTTGTATGAGTAAATATTACACAGTCGGTTATATATTCAGCGACATAATTTACTAGAGAAGGGTGGTAGTCTATTTTCATTTGTAAGTGGCAACAAGATCCTCGAGTTATGTATGTACCTCCCGGAAAATTGAATGTTGAAACACTTAAAGAAAATAGAGTACAATGTTATACCTCTTCACATTCTTGGGTAAATGAAAGTCGCCTAAGGGTCACTTGTGTAAGTTATTTTTTTAATCTAACTATGTATACTAACTATTACGTACATTGCCAATGAAGTTAACAGGCCCTTTTTGCCAATGTTTGAGCTTCTGGTAAATAATGGACTAAATCAACATCACATCAAATGTCCCTTGCTTTTCTTTTTAAGTTTTGGGAAATAAATGTAGCAATGCATTAATGGTCTAATAGAGGGGTAAGTTTTTGTTAAGAGTAAGTTTCCATACATCACTGATGTTTTATATACATATATGTATTTTGTATCCATGAAGGATGTAGTTCAAGTTATGCAAATTAATAAGACTATTGTTATTCAACACTAATGATGTCTATATGTCATCAAGTCAATATTGCATTTGTATTTTTCTTAGCCCTTGCATTCCTGCAGGGTTCTATTTGTCCAGCTGCTTGGTGTCTACTTCTATAATCTGTATGCATAATGAAGCACTTACTCATAAGATCATATTTTTCTTAGCAGCCTTATATGCCTCCCTACCTTATTTTAGAACTCTTGGAGAGTGTGATGAAACCCAAACACATATTTTGCCGGAGTAATTTCTTAGTCACCTTATATGTGCATTGCCACAAGCACATGACACAATATGGCATGCCACATAACTTTTCTATAAATATATGCCACAATTAAATAGTTAAAATAGAATCAACAATTAATGATTGAATCAAGAAAATTTGCTGAACACAGAGGCTTGTTGTTTGCTTTAGCCATAATAGAACATATACAATATTTTGATACTTTGTACAAATAGGTGTAGCCTTAAATGTTTCATTACTTGCTGCAAGCATGAAAAATATGCAGCAGCTTCATAATTTTGGCACTTGACTTTGCTTCTGTCATTTTAACAACTGAGTTTTGGTACAGTGACATGAAAAGTTATCTTTGGGCTTGTCTGTCTCCAAAAAGAAGTCTGAATTGTCTAAGCATCAGATTGAAGTTTCATTCTCCTCAATGATATGTATGCCAAGAGCCTATAACCAACTACCATAGCTGCCAGTGCACTTACTTCTTTGACTCCGCTGTCTATTTTTATCCCATTCACTGAATTTGTAATGTGTTCATATTGCACCTTCAGGAGAAGCTTGAAAGTGTGATAGTTGAAGGAGAGATACCGCAGCCATGCTATGAATCCTGGCACTTTCTGCAGAGCACCAAGCCATCCCATGTTAGGTTTTTTTGTTTACTGAAAATATTTTCGTGGAAAATGCTTTCTGATTTTTTTGTGTTTGGAGCAGAAATGCTTTCTTTTGGGAAGATTTCTCTGGAGTCTAGACTTGTTTTGGATTCAAAATGGGAAGGCATATTCCAAAAATTGGGCAATAACTATGGGATGGAGGGAGTATTACACACATCAATTTTTTTTTCTTAGAAAACATTTTCAATGACAAGTTATTTTAGTTTTTCTTTCCCTAGAAACAAATAGAGCCTTAGTTATTTTACTCCCTCTGCCTTTAAAAAAAACTTCATATTCACTATTCAACTATTTCTTCTTTGTTCACTTATTTATGTCAATCATTTTTTATAATTAAATAGTCATCTCACCTCTTGATTAATACAACTTTTGGTGTAATTTTAAGATATTTAAATTTTATTTTTAAACTTTACATCAATATCCAAATACATTGAATCACTTCAGTCAAACATCATAAACCATAAACTAAAGTTTATTTAGGGACAAAGTAAGTATATTTAACTTGTCTGGTACCATCTTTTGGGGTATTAGATGAAAAGTTAGTTTCTTTTGTAGAAACATGTCTCTTTTTACAACTCTCTGTTTAGGATGTACTTCGTAGGGTTTTTTTTGGGTTGGTATATTCTCATAGCCAAATTAATGCAAATGTTCTGTAGCTAGTTGGTTTTTCAACTTTTGAGCTTAGTTTGGATGTTAACCTGTATAAAATATCCACCAGCTAACATAAATGTCATCACTGTAACTGAAGCAAGTGTTGTTGCCCTCTTTAGATCCATTAGTGTGGCCCCAATAGCTAGTCCTAGTCCCTGCAAGAAAGCATAGTTTTTTTTGCAAATGACCCCAAGTAACTGAAATCTCTTAGGCTATGTTTGGAACTCAGGAAATGAAAAAATGACAGGGAAATGTAAAGAATATGAACAGAATTCATTTTTTAACTCTTTGTTTTACCCATAGACCGGTGATCGAACAGGTCAAGACACTAGTTCAATGGTCGAACCAGTGGTTCGAATGGTTGAACTAGTGGTTCACACATATTTAAAAATTATGAATTTTATATATATATATATATATATATATATGTATGTATGTATGTATGTATGTATATCCGTGTGTGTGAAAAATAATATGTAATTAAAACAATACCTCTTCTATCTATATATAAAGAATTTATGATGTATTATTAAATTTATAATCACTTTAATGTATTCGAGTAGTAGCATTAAATCTTTTTTTAGAAAAAGTAGTAGCATTAAATTGAAAAAAAATACATTTTATGGGTATTTAGAAACATTAAATGTTTATAAAACAAGAGTTGATTTTTTTGTTTAGTATTTTATCCAATATTTTCAAAAAATTCAAATGAGTTAATATTTTTGGGATATGTACTTTGTGTTAGTATCAATTGCATCAATAGATAAGAGTTTGAATCACAATTTCAACATTATATTTTTCAAAATTATAGAGATGAAAAGTAGTCTTTTTAAAATATGTATTTCTTTTAACTTCAGGATATTAAACTAAGTTATGCTAATAGTTAACAAGAAGTAAATTAGTATAGATGGTGGCTACCTTGGTTTAGGATTATGGGGTCTTGTGTTTGAAGCCCACGAGTCCAAAACTTTTGGAAAATTTGGACGCAAAAAAAAACTGGTTCGCCGATTTAACCGGCCGGTTGGTACCGGTTTGAGCCGGTTTGGTGCGTGTAGCGGTCTTCAAGGCTGGACCGGACCGGTTTGCCTACCGGTTCACCGGTGTCTGGTCTGGTTTTCAAAACTATGGTTTTACCATGGAAGTGCGTAGGAAAATCCGAAAATCAAAGTTAATTGAAAAAACTCTTTACATTTTACATTTATTTAGATTTTTTAGTCTCTGTAGAACAGAAATATTTAAACATCTAAAATGAGTGTGAACATATCTGAAATTTTTACTTCATCCTGTTCGAAGCAAATATTCATTGTTACCCATATTCTTTCCTGACACTTTTCTATCTATTTTCCTCCACATTTTCTTCCCTAGCTTGATATGAGTTCCAAACAGACCCTCACTAAAATTGAATGAGAACAATAGAATCCATGATAATGACCCCAAGTAGAAGGGATTAAATCCTAGTTGAATTGAGTAGTGGAAAGACTTCTTGTACTTGCAGAAGAGGGTAGGAATATACCTGGGCTGCTACAATACATAGGAAAACAGTAAGCATTGTTAGGAAGAAGGAAGCAGCATCACATTTCAAGCCTGCCATGAAATATACAACTAGAAGAAAGAGTAATGGTAGAAATAGGTCAAGTGGAAGGTCACTGGTGGTCCTAGCCACAAAATATGCACTTAATCGGTACATATCAGCTGCCCTCTCCTTGTTTAGCATTGCCCTTTCCTGAGGAAATGTAAATATTGCTGTGAAGACTGGAAAGAACCCCCAAAATACAGCAATGAAGAAGAGCAGCCCAGCCTGCATAAAGATTCTTCTCATTAAGGTTTGACAATATTTCTTCTTTCTAGTATTTTTTTTCATATCAATATTTCTATTTCTACATTTTTATTGAATGAAAGAAACCTTGTACAAAAGTGGGACAGGAGTATATTTTTGTCCGCACACTTGTTCTTTTTTCATTTCCATTGTACAAAAGCTGTATTGTACCTGTTCTTGTAGCTGAGTAGGGTCATCACCTCCAGATTGCCACCAGAGCATACCCAATATAAGTGATGTTGCAATGACTTGAGTGATTCTTAACCAGCTAAAATAATCATGCTTCCGTTCTTTAAGTCCCCGGCAGAACAATATGGAAAATTGTTCACACCAGGTTGCACCCCACTCTCTCTTTATGGAACTTGCTTTGGACTTCAGCTCTTCATCAATGGGCAGAGAAGCAAGAAGTTTCTTCTTATCAGTTTCTGCTATGTGTGTTTCGTAAGATTCCACCAGATACTGCATCGTGATGAAAATCAGATGAAAATCTGTCAGGTGCTTCATACTCTCTGCATGAAATACTTCCACTAATTTAAACAAACAACAAGGTGAACAAGCTACCCAATGGAGTCCCGGTGCCCTGCTAGTGAGATTCCTTACTGTACTGTAATTGATACTCATGTCAATTAATGTTTGCATGGCTAGTACAATCTTTTACTGTACTGTAATTGATAGTTGTCCTGATAATGGACTGGTAATTTACCTGATGCATAAGTGCTGGAGTTGGCTTTCCATTACTCTTTCCCTGCATGGAATTAGTATTACCCATTTGCACTGTGGCCACTTCTGATGGAAGGGAGACATCATTTACGTTTCCATTAGCAAGGTCTAACAGGAATTCTGCTGGATTCATTGCAATCAGAGGGACACACCCTATTGATGAGAAATAATCCATTGCAGATGACGCCTTCCCAAAGTAAAGCAAGCTTCCTTTCCCTAGAAGAATCAGCTTATCAAACTTGAGGAAGAGCCTGCTTGATGGCTGATGAATTGTGGTAATCACTGTTTTCCCTGCCTGTTTCATTCTTCAGATGTTAATGACAAGAGAAATGTCTTTCAAACTATCGGGTTTTAATTGTCTACTTTTGTGGAAATGTGTTTCCGTTTTAAGAACGTGAACCATTTTGTTCAGTTATATGTAGAACAACTTAGGAGCCATTTGGCTTTGATTCTAAAAAACTGATTTTGTTGATTCAAGAATGAACTGAGAGTTGCATTTGTTTTAGATCCTGAAAAGAATCTATAGCTGATTCTGCTTCCAAAATTTGATTTTTTGAAGTAATCAACTGCTATCCAGAATCAGTTGTTTGTGGAAACATAAACTGCCAAAAAATTGATCATAGCCAAATGGTCCCTATTCCAGAAAATGGTTTTTACGGGCACATGTTATTTTCTTGGAAACAAATAGAACTTTAGCTCGTGCGTTCTTGCTTTTAATTTACCTGAGATATATGATGTAATATCTCAATCATCTTTAATGCAGTTGTAGAGTCCAAACCAGAAGTAGGTTCGTCGAGGAAGAGAAGAGACGGGTTGATTATTATCTCATTGCCAATGCACACACGTTTTCTTTCTCCACCCGAAACTCCCCTTACAAACGAGCCCCCAATCATTGTGTCTTGACACCTGCAAACAAAACACAGTCCCCATTTCTGATCAGATACCACTGCAGCTTAGATCAATATTATTCATTTCAGTTTGGCTGCGCAAATTACCTTTCTAGCCCCAACTCGTGGATGACATCCATTGCCCTCCTTTCCTTTTCCTCCCTTGTAAGCGTCTTTGGTAGCCGGAGGCGGGCAGCATAGGTCAGGGTCTCTTTCACCGTCAAGTGAGGGAAGAGAATGTCATCTTGGGTCACAAATCCTATCCTGCAAATCGTGGGCTCCATTCATGTTACGTTACTCGCCAGGTACATACATTATCCTATATCTCAAAGTAACATAGGCTTTGTTATTTTCTACTTTTTATTCCAGTTATCCAGACTCCCATTAACAGTTATTCCAGTTTCCAGAATCTAGTGAAAATTAATTTGAAAAGAAGAGGTTCAAATTTGTTTGTAACCTGCTCTTGAGTAGCTTGGAATATGGTTGTTCATTATAAGTGATTGAACCACTTGTAGGCTCTCTCACCCTTCCTCCAAGCAGGCTGAGGAGAGTGGTCTTTCCACTTCCGGAAGGTCCCATCAACGCCAAAACTTCCCCGGGATCTACCGCACCATTGATTCCATTCAATATGTCCTTTTCCTTGCCCTTCAACATAACCTTGTAGGTGACCTCCCTAAACTACATGTTTTCAACAAAAAAATGCAAACTCTAACCATCAGCTTAGCTTAAACTTTTAGTTGAAATGATTCTTTTCCTACCATGCACGTAAGTTTTAGTCTTGATTACGTACGGTTCTTTTGACATATTTTGGGTGTCATAATATGACACTGGTGCCTGCGATGCTTCGTTGGGACAATAGGTTCTATACCCCCACCCCACAAACCCCTCGGCCTCCAAGAAAACACTGAAATGTTGCACTAGAAGTGGAACATTTCAGCGTTTTCTCTGAGGAAGGAGGATTAGGAGGTCGGAACAAATTTGGGCCTAAACGGAGCACAATCGGTATGAGTAGTAACTAGTAAGCATTTCATGCACCTTAAGGAAGATTGGTAAGGTACGTTCTGAATGAATCACCATCTTCTTGTCTGTGCCAACTTCAAGATCTTCAGCTGCAACCATATTTGCATTGTTCTTTAAATATTCAAAGAAAATTGGGTAAGACTTTTAGGATTTCTTGGAAAAATGAATTCACTTGTGGTATACTCGTAGTCTATTTTTGCATTTTGTTTTGAAATTTAAATGGTAGCTCATTATTAGTGATGTGAAGTCCTCCAACATTATTGGACTGATAAAATATACTCCCTCTCTCATAATTAAAGGTTTCACCTTTGAATTTCTCTTCTGGCTTGAGTGGCAACAAGAGTGGTAAGAAGCTCACTCTTCAGGACTCGTAGGAAAGTTCACCCAGGTTCGAGTCCTGGTGGAGACGCAGACGTTGGCTCTTTGTGCGTCATTAGATTGAGAAATGTATGAACAAACACTACATTATAATAGAGTCAATAATACTAAAAAAAGGTTCCACCTTTAGTTTGCTACCAAGATAAAAAAAAAGTAAAATTGTGTGGTTGGAAGTAATTTATATAAGAGAAAAATTATAAGAATCACACTTTTTTTTCTTTAATTGGAATGTGAATTTTTTTGGGACAAACAAAAAAAAAGAAATATAAAACTTTTTAAAGCGACGGTGGGAATATATCGTGAATCTTATTACCCCTAGGTATCTTTTTAAGATTTGTTTAAAATAGCAAAAAAAAAAGGATATAATAAAGTTTAATTATTTTTCTAAAGAGTACGTTTACGAATAGTGGAGCTTATGTAGACATCCTTCTTTTATTTTTGGGATATGCTAGGGGTACACCAAATGTGTATCCCAAATGTACACCACTCCCCTTTCTACCATTCATTTTATTTTTTTTATTTTTTATTTTTTATTTTTGAATTTTTTTGCTTTTTTTTTGTGGTGATGGAGGGTGTGGGGGATGTTTGGGGTACACTTTTGGTGTACCCCTGGCATTTTCCTTTATTTTTTCCGAACAACACACGTCCATTATTATCTGCCTGCCACACTTGCAAATTAATTAATTAAAGTGAGACCTATTTCCATCAACGAACCATACTTTATTATTTGATCCAAAATATTTTACTACAAAAACTTTTTTTAAAAAAAAAGTTGGTAAATAATCAAAACATGTGTTTATAAAAAGTCTATCATAGAAACAATTTTGAACTATATATACATTCTCTTTAATTTCAAATAAATCCTGTAGATGAAGAAAAATAAAATTGTACTTATGATAATATTGATATAAAAAATGACAAAAAATAATAATGAGAGAGACATGAGTGCCTCACACTCTTCAAGTGTGTGTATATCGATGATCATATCGACAAAGAAATATTGTAAAATAAAATAAAATCGTACTATGCCTTTGTTTGAGAGGAACCAATTAATTATTGTGACAAGTGTCCATATAATATAATATATAGTCGTGTGTGTGTGTGTGTGTGTGTGTATATATATAGACACACACGGAGTATATATATGTCCCATTATTAATAAGTAATGTTGACTTTAGTTGGATACACCATATCATATCACGACCTTTAAAACCACAACAAAGGAACAATTGTATAGTCGCTTATTGCGACGTTTTTAGTAGAGAAAATATATATATTTGTATGTATATATAATACTCTTGAGTATATTTAATTTTATTTTTTTGTAAAAGAATATATATATATATATATATATATATATATATATATATATATATATATATATATATATATATATATATATATATATATATATATATATA